AATCATGTGCCTTCTTCTACTAAGATTTTTGCGGTTCCAAAAACTTTCTAGAGGCAGTCGAACCTACCAACGTCTGCCTGGCAGTACTTCCTGACAATATTATCTCTGCTAGTCTCCTGGGTGCATGGGCTGCAGGTCACTAAAACGGAAAATGCGACAGATTGTTACAAATTGAAATTAATTTGACCATCAACACCGTACTTTATTCTGGTAGCCTATAAGTGGAATTTTCGTACAAAACCACATTTTAGCCTCGACTTCTTTGCGTTAAGATTTAATCGAATTATTGGAGTCATCTCGACTGGAATGATGAAGGTAGTAAGTATAATCAGGCGCATGCTCCTAAGTGGTGCATGTCTATTCCACACTTCCTTTTACCAACTTAGTTCATACGATCCGGCAAACTACTAATATGAATGCCTACTTGTGTTACTTTACTTTTATTCAGTTTTACTTCAATTTCGTTGTTCAAATGTATCATAAACGGCCCTTGTTAGTACTCGCGCAGCTGTTCACTTGTGGCGGCACTCTTCAAAGCCTTTCCATAAAATGACATCACTATCCCTAAATGTTCTAAGGTGCAGCTTTTGATCATTAAAATATCTTTACAGAAAACATAGAATACTCAAAAGATAAATCATTTTTCGATGAGTCATTGATTCACTTCAACCAATGAGTGACATGAGATCCCTTTAGGACTCAGCATAGCACCCAGTATTTTCGAATGCCATTGTTTGTATTAACCTATAGTTGGTAAATTTTGCTTTGTGAGTCTTCGAAAATGCTGAATTCTTTACAAAAATCGACATCACATTCAGGCAAAAGGTGTAGCTTGAAGCAAATACCTACTAGAAAGGGCAAATGAATGCATGCTAATGCCCTAGAATTCCTAAACGGGTAAAGTGACTGAAAGACGAGACAGGACTAGCAAAATCGCACGGAAGGTTAGTTAATAGTAGCATTGTCGGTAATTTTCTTCAACTGTTGTAATATTGTTTGCTGGCATTTGCTTTCAGCCTGCCAAAGCATTGACAAAGTATTTGAGTGTGTGACCCTGTTTGTTCGGGTGATGGACGTAAATATTCCATTGAACTTGATTTCCGTCGAATAGAAAGTGCAAAGAGAAGACGATTCAATGACCAGCTTTGATGTCTCATTCAAATAGATTTGAAGGGTTACAGACCTGTCATGGAGCCAGGTGGCGAGATTTGAATGTTCATTAAATCCGGGACATTCTTCCATTGTTTATTTAAGTGTGCTAAATTTATCAATTATCCTTCCAGTTGTGGCTTTCCTTTGAAACTGGAAAACATTTCCTAAGGGGACAAATGCACGTAAATCTGATGCGTTGGTTGATTCATTGCGAAGTGTGCGAAACCACTCTAATGATACTTGCAGATACATCACTGAGTTCCTTATCAGTGTGCAATAATGCTAACAATTGTCACCCTTGGGAGAATGATGTTGTTCAAAATCGATTGCGTCAATTTTTTTATTGTTTAAATTATCGTTTCAAGGGATGATGCACGACACCATACATTCACACTTTCTTTAAGACCTACTCCCGGCCAACAGCTCTCCTCACGTACTTAGTTTCCACGACTCTCCAATTTCACGTTTTGTCTTCCAGTGCAGTTAACTTTGGGGCTGATGTTCATGTGCTTTAATGCATTGGTTCCTAAAGGTGAGTTTTTGAATTTTTATGAATTTATGGCGATAAAAACTAATGAAGAGGGAATTTTGGGTGATTTCTGAAGTACTAAAACACCACTTTTTCACGCAAACATTGTACATTTGGATACCATTATTTCATTTGGAAGTACAAGAATCGCATAAACTCTGTTAATCTTGGACCTAACATTTAACCGAAATTCTTGTTTAGTGTTTATTCGTCAACACAGTCTCGCTATTTTGTGTTGTAAAACGTCGGATAGAACCCCCTGGGATGTAAATGCTGCCAGAAAGTGAGAAAGACGATCCAACGCAGTCACATTTGACTGTGCGTATTTTGCCTCACGCTTTGTGCAGCAGATGTTTCTGATGGACTTGGAGATGATCCACACTTGTATGTGGGTGTGTGTGTGTGTACATACAGTTCCGTCCTTGGTACCTTTTATGTTTGGACAACAATTCCTCCTTCTAAAAAAGTTTTCTTCGCCTTGTGGATAGATTTGTACTCAATTCTAGCTTTAATAGCATTGCGCATTGCTAAAACATTAATGATCTAGCTTCGCATGCATGGCTTTTGCTCCCTTTAGTGCATTCTTCACCAATTTGGATGTCAGCATTAGTCTAGTGCATTAAGGTACATACGATGAATCCTTGAAAGATTTATCAGCATTACCAAACCAAAGCATAGCCTAAGCCCTTCCCTTTGACCAGTTGCTCACTTGTCCCTTTTAACGGGAACAAGACAGTGTAGTAATTATTAAAAATAACCGAAAATGTCTTTTTCATATCCACCTATTTACACTCCAGTTAAGCATGTATACTGTAGTGCAATGTTATGTCGAATGCTGCTTTCGCGCATCTTTGGTCGGAACATTTGTGCTGACAGTCACGTTCGCCTTCTAAAATGTTTGGAATTGACAGCTTTGTGGAGTAAACAAGCGCTTTTATAAGGCAATACATGTCTATACATGTCAAGTTTTCTTCTTCAGATTTCTACTGATAATGGAACTAACCAATTTTAATTTCTTCTGAGAGTGATATATTGCCACAAATATAATCACCTATCTACACACTTTATCGGCCATAAAAAGTGGCATTGAATGTACCGCAATACTGAGATACTCGAAATCGGAGGTAATAACAGATCCTGCCACATCTTAGGTTCATCACTCAATTTACCCGCTGTCTTGAGAGCTGGAAAATCTTGTATGGATCACTGGATTAAGTGTAAATTAAAAAGCCTCACTTTAAGCTGAATATTATTTGTTTTTAGTTGCTCAAGATGGCCGTTCCCGCCGTTTAGTAATTTCTTTTTTCAAATCAGTTTGGTCAGCTTATTGCAAGACTTTCTGAACCTCCCTTACTTCTGCATGAGTCCAAGCAAGAGAGAACGGGGTATTCATAATTTTGGAGCGTCCTAATGAAAAGGCCCCAAGAGGTCATGATAAACGAGAATTCGCAATACTGAATCGTCAGTGGATCATCCCCAACTCTCCCAATTATAGTCAGCTGGTGAGACTTCCACTTGAAGTCGACCTTATGCAAATGATTCTCCTTATACATGTAGCCTCCAGAAATAGTTGTAATTTACCTCGATCCTCGTATTCTACAAACAACAGAATGCATTTAATCCTATTTGTATGCCAAAAATTTCCATTAATGAGGATGACAACAAAGAACTCAATTACACTTAATTTTCAATTCCCCTCTTTAAGTATTAGATGGGAATGATTGTATAAATTGCATCAAGATCACAGTTCTGTTGATCGGGTACTCATTCTAGCCAATTTTGGCGACGCCCACATTGGTTAATTAAACTGGAAACAGTGAGTTTTAAGTTCAATTGAAGCAAATATTATGTTATGAAGTTTGTAACTTTTTAGTGTAACACCATTTGTATTGCTAAACTGAATTTCAGAAGTCGCCTTTAGCATTTTGCAGTGACTTCTGGTATTTTGCACTTGTTCAAATGCAATTGCAAATGTCAAAAGGGCACAGGTCGTGGTGTCATTAGCTCACTCACCAGATTCCCTTTTGGAGCTTATGCACATGCTGGCCTCCTCACTAGGGAAACGATCGCAGTCCACTTGTTGAGGCCATTTAAATCCAAAGAGATACATCCTCGACACGCAGGCCGAGCGTACCTCAATGCAGAACTCACGGCAGGGCAGGATGGGCATGACTTGGTGGGAGTGGAGGCAGACGGGATTGTATACGGTGCAGACAAACTTCATAGCATGGGGATGGCAGCGTGAGCTGAGGAGGGCTATCCACACGTTGGCCTCCTGGATGGACTCGGGGGAGGAGGCGGAGTACGAGCAGTAATTCATGTCCGGTGGGAGGGCGGGGCACTGCCAGAGCGAGCCGGGGTTCTGCCGACGACCCATGGGGCTGAGCAGCCACTTGGAGAGGAAGGCTACCCCTTCTGTATGTGCCAGAATCAATAGAAGTGATAACAACAGTGCTAGTTTATGCATCTTTAAAGGCTCGCTTTTCTGTGTATCAAGTATACTCCATTTTAGAATAGGAAAGTACGATGCATATGTCTGTGGGTGCGTATGACTGTCAACTCATGAATTGAAGGTGGGTGTGCGGACGCGGCAGTTGTACCTGGCTCTCCTTACGACCAATCATATTTATCCTACAGGGGTACTTGGCCAATCATGCAAAGCCGTTCGCTTCAACGTGCACGGGCAGGTTAAATGTCTCGCTTTTAACCTCTTGTTTTTTCTTTATTTCGTGAATTTCAACCGCTTTGGATTTGTATGGCGGCAATCGGGGATTTTTATATGAGGAATGATTTCGAAGACATTACAGGCTGGTGTTCTACTTAGGGTTGCCGTTTTCATCCACCTAACCTGATGACACTGACTCCAGATTTATATCTTAGGATTGTTTAAAAACGCAAATAAATTGGCTCAAATCTTTCACTTGTAACAACTATTTCAACAAGTTTGATGGGTTTTGGTTTGTTGTAAACCATTTCAATAAGTGGTGTGGACACATTTTTGTGGTAAATTGAGCCATCGAGGATCCAGTTGCAGGGTGAAATTGCATCCACCTTATGAAGGCACGCTTCCCATAGTGAACCCAACGTGCCTAAACTTGAAAGTTTATGCCATGATCATCGGGAATGCATGAAAATATTCCGCTTTACACAGGAATACTTTCAAATTTTGTTAACATTACATCAAAATAAAACAGTATCATTCGAAAAATTGTTGTTAAAGCTACCATAGTTAAATAGTGCCTCATAAAAGTGTGTTTTAGTGATTATTCACAGATATTCTGTAAAGCATTCAGAAATAATTCAACCTTCCTTACGTGAATGTTTTTTTTCCGCATATTGTAAGCGATTTAAGTAACGTGACCATGGCAATCGCAATATTTGTTCTGAAAAGTTGCAGTATTTTTTGTAAAAGTGGTTGATGTCCCTTTTTTCTTTGCTACGTTCTGGAAGAGGCATTGAGCACTCAGGGAGAAAGTGGTATTGTTAATACCATTGATTCTTTAGATTTAAGGAAAGTGTATGCCAGTAAACCGAACGATCTGAAGATTAGTTATTGTACAAATGCTTTCAACAGCTTATTCGTTCTGCTATCTTCTCCATCAATTACATCTTATCCGATGTTAAGTTGAATTACGGTTCCAACCTTACCAGTATACAGGTGCGTGAGAGGTGGCCACTTTTATGCTTACGAAATAGCGATGACCTCTCGATACGCTTGCATCAATTTGCTTTTTTCGCCTTCACCAAAGACCTGCTTATAATTGCCCGATACTAGTGTTCCCTCTTATGTTGCAAAACGAAGGTTTGTCTTCGACATGATTAGTGGATGAATTAAACAATGCTTGTTAACCTGCGGTAAGTTGTGGGTAAAAAATGACTTTTTGATTTATCTACTTCTGAACAACTTATTCCCTGGCCCTTGTTAGACTTTGGGCCTACTGGCAAGAAATTGTGATATAAGGGCCGCTGTAAACAGACTAAACTGTTTTCATTCATCCTCAAAAAGAATCTGTTTGGAATTTGTTTCCCAAGTGTGCTTCCATTTCGCTAATAGGCCTTCAAAAGCCAGAAGGTTCCTTCGCGTCAATTAAACTGGTGTAGACATTCACCAGGCAATAAAGAAGTTTGTGGATTTTCGGCAATGCCAGCTGCAATGATTATCGGTACGGCATCACTTTTCTCTTATCCTCATACCACGAAATGTCGGCTGAGCCTGGTGGGTGTATTTGGAGCATGTAACCGAGTTTAACGCGGTTTTAAAGCGGTACAAGCTTCTAGACAAATTCGTTGCATAGCATTTGAAGGAGGTTGGGATGCAGAACCTCTGCCCGGGAATGGTTTAAACCCTTTAATTCTCGTAATAAATCACATCAAACGGAAGGATCGCGTTCAGGAAGACCTCCTGCATGTCGCTATTGTTTGCGATAAATCGAGATTGACATTTCAGCAAATTTGCTGAAGGTAAAATGAGAGATGGTCAGAAGACTCGATTGCACTTAAATCAACCAAAAAGGGGAAGCTGTGCAAACTACGAAGCAGAGTGGTCCCACTAACCATGTGTTAATAGATGATGACATGCCTCAAGGACTACCAATCTGTTCTACACTGCTTTCACACCGAGCATTTTTTGATTATATCATTGGTTATCCCCAAATCGCCCACTCACTATCCACCTCACACCACTAAACCACCTTACATTTAGTCCCCGACAAGACTATGCTTGCCTTGTATGTCGCACATTCTACACTCACTTGTTTCCTAGGCTCGTTTTCATTTTCTGAAGGCTGAGGAAAACTTAGGGCTGAGGCCAACTTATTCGCTACAATTCGATGCAGCTCGAGGGGGTCTAAGAAAGCCTTAAAAAATAGCCAGAATGGGTCTATCGGTGATAAAGGGGTTCCATTCTTAGCCATAAATTTTATGCCTCACACCACTACATAAATGACTTGTGAGAAGTTTTGTAAGCTAGACTAAAAGGGAGATGCGACCCCACATCGCTCCCCCACCGTATTCCTTTGGCAATATTTTTGCAGGTGATTATTATCCACTTTTCTTGGCATCACACGATGCATACATGGAAGAGTAGACATTTGGAAAATAAAAGTAAGATGATTGGAAGAAAGGTGGCTTCGTAAAGGTCTTTTTTACTGGCTTTTCGAGGCAGAGTTTATAGCAGAAATGGGATCTGCGAGCTTGCGTCTTGTCGGGAAAGGATTATAAATTGCAGTGGTGATTATTCGAGAGAATAAGATATTTTAAAAAGCTGTCTGAGAATCCTTAATTCGGATTCCAAAAAAACTACGCAAATCTATCTGTCGGAATAAAATGTTTCAGGATTATGGTATCCGTTGAAAGTTGCATTGATCTTTCATCATCTAGTTGAAAAATTAAGGAGCTAATGGAGCTGTGCTTTTACTTTGGTAAAAACTCGCAAGGTCGCCATCTTGAGCTTATCCGAGTTTTTTTTATCATATGCCAATGGTTAAATTTTGTGTTGTATACATGTAGTAATTCAACATTCATTCCATAATGATAATTGCAATTGTTTGAAATATGCCTTTAAATGTGCATTAACATTTACCATTTCACCTGTAGTTTTTAATCTTTATTTCTAATTCTTTAAACCAATTGCACAATTTCTTAACAACAAAAAAATTTACTCATGAAGATTCATCCCGGAGAATGCAAAAGTCCTGTATCGAGTTAACGGTTACATCTTACGAATATCTGAGTCAGAAGTATCTGAATTTTCCTTACCGAAACGAAAAATTAGAACGGAAAACTCAATGACATAAATCATTTCCTCGTTTGGGTGACTTACCAATTGTGGCAGCGGGGACAGGGAAGGAGCGGGAAAAGCCGAAGGCTCGGATGACGCTGTAACGGGAGCCCACACACGCAGGCGGGAAGGTGAGTACCCCAGCCTCAGGTGTGATCTGATACATTGCCTCAAATATGGCATTAAATTCTGGTGCACTTAAATGCTTTTAACGCAATCAAAACAATGTTATCTTTTCTGGTTTTGAGGACTAAAATGTGGTTTTAAGTTCACGAATAGCGTGAAACGGGGGATCGAACCAGCAATATATTCACACTCTATTTGCTAGCCCCTGTTAACCATATGACTATTTTAAAACTCGCAATATAATGCGCATATACTGAGTGTAAGATAAACATCATTTTCAGACAGTGATAAACTCATTTTGGCAATGTAAAGCCGCATAAATCTGTGTACACAAAGTCGGGAAGTGTTCAAGAGCAAGTTAATAGACTAGCAAGGTTATGGTAAAATAGATTCCCGAATATAATGTAGCACGGTCCTCATCTACCTCCCTTTCCCTTGCCTTTATACCCCTCTGATTGGATTTGGCCATATTTATTACTTAGCGCAAATGGGGATAGACACAAGTTTAGGGAGACTCGGACACAGAGCCCTTCTCTGATTTGGGAAATGTTGACCACTCGTGAATCACCAGGTTCGAGTCGATTCCACGATTGTTCTCCCAAAGACACTTTTAACCAGCATGAGTATTACAATAATATCCAGCAATAGGAGCAACCAATTTACCATATTGTGAAAACAAAGGATTCGCCCAGAGGTGACTTTTCCGTCAATAACTTGATTAACAAGAAACTTAAAAAACCAGTTTACCGGGAGTCAAACCACAGGAGTATATTTGAAACCATTGAAACACATCGCAACCCCATGGAATCTCTGGGTTTTATGGGATTATTTGTGTTAAACTGCATAGTTTTTACTTCTCGGTCAATTATTTGAGGTCTACAAATTTATGTACGAAGCCTCTAAAATTTCTACGTACTTTATAAAATGGGGATCTGTATTGCCGCATATATTTGTGTACGATGAGGATACTTTGGACCCCGTGGTTATTAATTAATGAAGCATAATGTAGTGATAAAATGGTGCGGGAAATTTTTTTAGCACAGTAAATAATTGCACTATTTGTAGTTGCAGCACTGCATAACAGAATTCGAACCACAGTAAAACTAAAATTGTGGAAAGTTTTGTGGGGTTGGATATTTGAAAGTTATAGATACTACAAACAGTATTTACGTGTGTTCTTTCAAGTTTTCGTTCCAACGGAATCTGTTTTTCGCTGTTAAAGCAATTCCTTTATTATGTGTATACTGACATTTCATGACAGAAACTTTTGCTGTCATCGAGGGTAAAAGAAGTGACAGAGCCCGAGAACTATTTTCTTTCGTGAGGAAGTAAAAGTAACGAGTACATGATAAAGTGCAGTCACTTACTTTAGACAGCGTCTCGTCTTGTTTAATTGTAAAACAGCTAAAGGCAACAGCCGAAACATGGGATATAATTGATTCAAATGTTAACAGGAAGGCAGACACTTATTTGTTTCTTAGAATAGCTAAGTAATTTTGCAAAAGGATCCCCCAAATAAATGGTTATTGATAAATATACACTCGAGTCTTGCATTCTTTTAGGCTCGCTGTAAAGAATTCATCGGTTCATGATTTCGTTCATTTTGGTACGCGCTTCTACATTGAGTCTGCCCACTAGAGGTACTTTATGGTGCATTTTGAAACATACTTCTATCAAGGGGTTACGCCCGATAGACTGAGCATAGTGTGGAAATATTTAATAAGTCAAACGAATCAAAGGGAATCACTAGACAGGAGAAACTCGATACTCCTAAATCGAAGAGTATTTTAGGAGAGTGATCATGCAAGTCCCCAATGCTTTTGTAAACACCAATATAAGATTGCAAAGTTTTTTGAAAAACTAACTTGCTTGAGCAACATAATTTGACGCAGGTGCGCCAACACTGAGTGGTGACCTGCAATGCAAACAGATGCCATCCTCGATCTTAGTTGTGCGCGGTGCCCCTTCCCATGCTCTGTACCAAAGCTGAAGTTATTTTACATAATTTTGCAACTCTTCATTGCAATGACATTCACTTTCATAAAATTAACCCGCGTTTGTGAATCTTGTAAAAACTATTATGCTCCAAAATGACTTCATCCCTCAAAATACCATGCTAGTAGAAATCGGAATTTTTGGAAAACTGCCTACCCAATTTCCAGGTGATACTGCATATCCAAAATAATTTTGCGCGCTTATTTTTCCCCAGAGTTCTTGAAACTCCAACTCACCTCAAATCTCTTGACACAATATCGTGAACGCAGCCAGATGAAAACTCGGGTAATGCAACTGCTTTTACTAGATTCTACCTGACGGCTAAGAAGACGAACAGCTCCATGCTAAAGCAAGGCACCTTGCATCTTGACCTAATTTTCAAGATATAAAAGATCGTGAATTTTGTGGTCACCACCAACAACAATGACTAATTTTGGGCAAAGGTCTGTAGTGCTAGCAAGGCTTGCCAATCATTAAACAACTGACAGTCGTTGATTCTTAATAGGTTGACTATGAAGAGATTTACACCAACTAACAATGCAAAAGTAAAGATTAGACTAACCGCATTTAAGTTTCCCAAATAGCAATTTTATAGCCTTGTCACAAACAAGTAAATTCATATATTATAAAATTCTTCACTAAAAAACAAGGGATTCGGTCAGATTCCAAGTTTCATAAGAAAGACCAATAAACGGAGAATTCGATGGCCTAGCCTCTAGATCACAGACTTTCATTTGTCGCTACCGGCGCCTGTGCGGCAGCAGTGAGAGTGGTGAGTGGAGCAGTCAAACCAGGGTAGGCAACAACGAAGGCTCCATTGGCCAAAAGAAGGAGTATATTGACACCCCCACCATGAACCGTCAAGGCCATGTTCATGTGCACAATTGGTGCTCCAATCGAGAATATCCGTAACTGGGTTAGCGACTCCACCTCCTGCATGATCAGGTGGCCCGAAGAAGTCGCCATGAGGAGTACGTAGTTCACCACACACCTCGTATTCGCTGAGGGTGAGAGTACCGCTGTCAGCATTCGCGTCACTTGAGTATTCGCCGGCGGTGGTGGAGGTGAAATGTAACCCTCCTGAAACACTGACGCCTCCGCAACGCATCTTCCGTTTACGTTGAATCGAGTCAGACGCAGCTGTCGATCTCGAGAGCTTTTGGCAGTCCATTGCACCAGGAAGGAGATCGAAACAGGATGAATCAAGAGGTGGTTGATGGTGACTAACTCAGGAAGAGTTACTTGCCGGGACCACACGCCCCGCTTCACCGCGTGCATTCGAATAACGTTGGAACCGAAAGAAGCACACAATGCAATGTCCAGAGACAGGTAGAGAGCCACGTTGCTGATCGGAAGTCCACTTTCGTCAGCAGGAAAAAGTCTTATTACCTTAGCTACTTCTGTTGGAGAAGTGGATACAAAATTGCTGCTTGTTATCGAAGTCCTTCGGCCAGACGTTGCACCTACATCGGTCACTTTGCATCCACAACCAAAGTTCAACATGCTGTCGTCGAAAGGCATTCCTGGTTGAATACATGCCTCTACCTCCTCTTGCATATCAGCAGGGTAGCCATGAGAGTTATTTCTTTTGACAGCACCACCACCACTTCCACTGCTGCTACCGGGACTGACAGATTGGGTAAAAGACACATTCTTTGCACCTTCAGTTTCCAATTTTTTGGTTGCTTCAAAGTCTTCGATAAATGACCGGTCGGCGCGCACCTGTTTTATCATTTTTCCCGAGAAAGCAGTGAAATTCCAAACACACACTGTCCCGTCGCGACTACCGGTAATGAGATACTGCGCAGCTGAGCCCTGTTGAGCCGACTTCCGGTAGCAGCCCGGGTCCACAGCAAGAGTGGTGATGACGTCTGTGTGAGGCGTCGTTACAAGCGTGTCTAGACGGCACGTTTGAATGCTGTAGACAGCGATGCGGTTGTCCCAGCGTCCCGCGGCATAGAGGTGACAGCCGTTGGTAGACATGGCGTAAAGGTGAGTAGAAGGGTACTTTGTTCTTGATTTAGGCGCTCTTGATGTACATTCACGAGGTGGGTATAGCAGCGGCCCCAAAAACCGTTGGCGCATGCTTTATAAAACATTAACGATTTCAATATTCGATATAAACTGGAAAAGGTATTAGTGAATACGTTTTAACAACCACTCAGAGTCACCAAGCTACTTATTAAAAAAGCGACTTGAATGAATGAACCAGAGCTGCTTAAACTTATACGGTCTAAATAGCAAACAAACAGCTGAAACAAATCAGGAGACGACCTTTCGGGGACAGGTATAAAATAACACCCAGATAAAGACAACATAAACCATTTATTTTGAGTAAGATTCGAAATACGTACTTTGACCAAGCGAAAATTGGTGGATTGCTTTATTTTGCAGAAACATCAAAGAAGTAGGAAACAATGGATTTTACGCTTGGAGTTGTAACTTTCCACAGACGATTGATCTAATTCTACTATCAAAAAGAACCTTTTCGATTTAATGAGCAGACCAAAACTGCACAGCTATTTTGCGTTGCGATCGGATTAAACACATTATAAATGCAGGCTCTTGATAGAAGTTGATAGTGTGTTGAGTCGTTAAATCGCCAAGATTATTCACCAAAATAACTAATTAAGATGTTAATCAAGCCTAATTCCACTAAAGTCTTATCCGAATCCGAAACTTGATCATGTAGATTGCTTTGGTGAACGGTTCTAAATTTTGCCAATAATGCGGTACCTGATGGGTGAAAGTTGCAGACACTCCTGATCAATGTGGGCTGGGCTTATGGGCTCCGGGTCGGTGGTGACACCTTTCCTTTGGGACACGATGATGGTCTCCTCTCCCTCAGTTCGGAAAGGACTTTTCTTAAGGCCTTGTATCTGTTGGAGCAGTTCGCTCTCCGAGAGGGCGCCAGGTTCATTTTGCACCAGCGGGGTAAGGAGGTGTTTTCGAACCCATCCCGCCGAGTCAACAGTCACTACTTGGTGCGTAAGGTGGCTACTAGTCGTCGATGTCAAATTGACGCTAATGTTCCCCACTGCAAATCAGGACGTTCAGATGTAAAAATTATCAAACACTCATAAGCTTTTAACTGCTTCTCAATGTCTACAAAAAAGTTACTTGAAGTATGGAAGAATCTGTTGTCATTCATATGTCCCGCCATACCCTTTTCATTATTTATCGCCACCAAATTTGATTAGGTTTTTAAATTGCGTTAAAGCAGTTGTATATGGAACTGTATCCTTTAGGTTTCATTAAGGAATCATATCCAAGTCCCAGGGGATATAATAATGCACCAGCATAGATAAAGTGCGATAAAAATATTCCAAAACAATATACTTGGATTCCGACAATCAAGACGTTTTTTCCGCAAAGATAGGGTGGTCTAATCCAACTTTAATAAGCTTCATTGACACTTTGTTCCCATTGTATAACTATACTTTGAATTCTTTTCTATAAAAATGCTTTTGAAATTGGCATTGCTCAACCCGAAATAATGCTCGAGGTAGAAAAGTGTTTGGGCCAGGCAAGTCCAGTTAAAGAGGGAGTTTTTCAAGCAATCTCACAGAATTTACTAAAATAATACCAATGAGAAGTACCAAAACCATATGTAAGGAGGAAATAATTTTCTTGAAATCAGAAAGGACATTTTGCTTGATTAAATGCTTAACCATTCGGCAGAAATTCGTAAAACGCTTTGTGGAAAGCAGAAAAGTAGCCGAAATAGCGAAGAAAAAAATCATTTACGCTCAAAAAGCCAGCATTTGTTTGCAGAAGGAATGAAATAATAAGGTGTGGAAAGAGAGAACAGCTTCATCCTGAAAAATATATATTGAAGTTAAAAAAATGTCTAACTAATGGAACTTTTAATGATTTAAAATTCATTTGATATCAATGAAAGGCGACAGCATACCCGAAGCACCGATGGTGCCAGCGACTGAAGGCGAGGGAATTATTGACTTAAGACCAGAGACGAAGCGGGAGCGCGTCGAGTTATTCAGGAGGAGTTCGTCGTGTAAGGAGGCGCGCTTCTGGCTGAGGACGTCCGCGGCCTCCACTGGAGTGGCAATGCGCAGGTCCGGCAGCTCTACCACTTGATGCGGTTTTACGGCGCTGAACACCGGTGAGTGCACATATCCTAGGTGTTTTGGTGCTGGGTGGTAGGAGAAGTAGATCTCGATTGTGTGCTGTCAGGGAGAAAGGAATTCGTTCGTATTAGCTCCATGGGATGCACACCTATAGTAGTCTTCTCAACCAAAGAGAGCTCAAAAATATGTGACCTATCACAGCGCTAGATAACTAGTAGGAACCTAAGCGCCAACACTTTATTGTCTGTTCACAGAATGGTTCACAATATAAGACAATTGTAAGTAATGCTGCAATTGCTTAACTTTCGTAATGCTCCAGACCCAGAGTCAGGACGACAATTTATCAGGCTTTTGAACTAATTGTATAGCTAATACTGGAAATTCACATTTAGTTTTGTTATGGCTATTAAACACCAAAACAGCCTTTTGTAGCAAAATGTTCCTTCTGTTAAGCCAATCTTAAATCCAGTCTAACATTTGCTTTTTTGAAAAATTTTATATTTTAAGGTACTTTCGCCTTAATTCTCGAAGCATGTCGTTGAACCAACCCCAAACTTTAAGACGGTCAGTGCACTCTATTTTTAATAATATCAAAAGCTTATTGCCTTTGATGGACGATTTTAATGAGTAAAGTAAGAGCGGAGTAAATCCGTTCTTAATAGACATTTTGGCTATTGACGATAATTTAATTTTCGATTGTTGCTACCACCGTGGCTATAAAGGTTCATAAGAACACTTCTGAAAGACAAGTCAAATGGGGAACGAAATGTGCACACAGCAGTATACAACATCATAAAAGCAATATTCAGAAGACATTCTTTTGTCCACCCAGCAGGAGGCACGCATTAGACCTCAGTACAGGATATTTGTCAGAGCAGTGTTCCTTTCATTTATTTAGTTAAAAAGGCTTAATTCATGCTGGAGTACCGAAACAGCCAGGGAACGAGTCGGTCTTATAACGTGTGTATTCATATCGGAGACCTCTCTAATGAGGTGAAATTTAAGGCTCCCCGAAACTTCACACGATTCTCCCCACGGCAAGAAAACTCCCCACCTTTAATGGCCTGGATGAAGTTACCGCCACACACTCAAAGCTGAATCCTTGGTGGAATCGAAAGACAGATTTCTCACACTTGATATTAGCAGCTGTCTGGTGAAGCATACACAAATATAAACCGCCTTCTACTAGATGATGAGAGCATTCCGATAAAGCGTTGATGATCAAGTTGCTTTATCACTCAAGGTGCGTGCATCTAGGCATAAATTTCCGTTGAACATATTGGCTCATTTTATGGCACCTAACTTGGATGCAACCAAAATTTAGTTTTTGCTTTACTGTGGTGATTCTGCGTTCACTCTAGCTATTGCTTGCGTATAACCAAATTCGATGGACGATTAAATTTGTATTCTAAAACTCCCCAATTCATACTTTGTCTCGTTGTGTTCCAAAATTATAGCAGCAGCAGTATTCAGCAACTATACCAATACAATGACAAAACATCGTATGAACACTAACAATGCAAAAGTATAAGTAATCATTTCTGGCTACTGAAATTGAGGCTGCATTTAGCGAGTCAAAATTATCCCTTCAGAATTCCTTCGTCGGAAACAACTTGTTAACCACTTTGCACATAGTCACACGGATTAACTCATTGCAAATCTTGCGCATGTATTTTTAAGCCTCATTCTACGTGATTCATCCATCCTGGCCTACTGTAAGGGGTGTTGATGAACGAGGGCCAGTCACCCACGCGAGCGTTTGAGGAGGACGGTGTTTATAAATTGGAAAATAAAAACGTTTGCCAACCATGAATTTGTGCATTTAGGGGTGAAAAGCAAATTAAATAAAGAAAACCGCAATCCGTATAAAGGTGCCGGGCAATCAAGAATAAAAATTAGGTGGAAGTGTGTGCAGACGTGGCAGGAAGGCTTTGTATCGCCACCGCTTTCGTGAGTAAAAAGACATGAAGTAAACGGATATAATTGTGGTCTTACCTTGTTATCAAGCTGGAGGGAACAAGAGAGAATGGAATAATTCAACTTTGTAAACTATCGCTCATCGGCTTCAGTGATAGAGGAGGGTGTAATGTTCTCACACCAAATATTAGGAACGGGTACTCAGAGTACGCGGTATTAGATCCATTTGAATTTAAATATAACAATATTACGTTTCTGAATTTAGCATCCTTATTGTCATCAAACGCCAATTGCTAAATGAATGAGTGGAAAGCTAGCATTCAAAAATGAGAAGTTGACTTTGTACTATAAAGCCAGCCTGGGTGTTACATACCTAATGACCACACTAAAGACAAATTTTAGTTGATTTAAGATTTTCCAAGAAATACCAGATTTGGTAAACAATAAAAGATCCTTTTTGAACAGTTTTCTATTTTCAAGCAAAGGGAAGTGATGATTTAGTGACACCCCTCTAGAGCACAAAGTGAACTAGTCAGCAGTAGATAAAGAATTCTAAAAGAAATAAGGAATCAAAATATGAAAAATTAGATTGGAAGGGCTGAAGGAGAGCAAAAACTAGCCTGATTCAATTCAATCGGTGGCTGCTCATCACTGATCAGGGTGGATCGCGTGCGCTGACGGGCCAGACGCACGGAGAGCTTCTGCTGGGATCGGGTGTCAGCGTCACGCTCCGGCGAGGTCCCTCGTGAGCTAAACTCCATATTCGTCTTCATGTAGATTATTGCGGCATTGAGAATAGGCAATTGGCGTTGCACAAGCATCTTGTATACCCATTCTGGGTAGCTAATGCGCGCCATGTGTGGGACCTTTGGGCAGAGAGTAGAAAAATTGAATTGCCAGTATTGCCTAAACACTCTTCAAGCGGTACCACGACCTACGCGAATTATGGAAATAAAACACAGCATTTACTAACGAATGCATGGATTAATTTTGAACACAAACCTAGCTATGAAGAAATGTCGTTATCATTGCAAGAATTTTAATGTAATTTTTAGTAAATTTTTGCTGTACTTGCGAAGAAAACAAAACCATAGGAAACAGGTATATTTGAAACCACTTAATCAAAAATATTTTCGCGTAACCTGACAAAACAGAAGTAACGCTATACTTTTGAGCATTGTGATGTTGCTATGATTTTCTAAAAATGCAGTTTCATATCAAAGGCTGATAGGTTACAAATGAAAATTGTCCACGGAACGCACATGAAATAAGCAAGAGAAGTGAAGGGGATTCTCGCGTGAAATAATGCTAACTTTTGACCCAACATTTTGATATCATGCGTAGAAACACCTCAGCCTTCATGTGGCTGGATAACCGCCGCAAATGCTGCTTTTTAATAACAAATAAATTTGGGAATAATGGTCTAGAGGAAAGTGAAATTCAGGGTTATTCGGCGATATTTATTTTGATTTCATTCAGAAAAGCACACCTATCATCGTTCTTTTGAATTCTCGATAATACTTTACAGACCTTTTTGGAACATATAGTGAGTTTCTCCTCACCATTATTATCAACTGTGCCTCAAAGTAAGAGATATTACGTATGTAATTTATCCGAACTTTGAGAAACAAATTGCCTGCGTAATCAATGACATTAGTGGTGTTAGTTGAAATGTCGACTAGTTGGAAGAAAACTTTGCTTCACCTACTGAAGCTCAATTTCTTCAACGACCGACCACTTCCTCACGAATTTAAACACTGAAATAGTAATTATTTTAGGTGTTAATAAATCAGTATCATCATTGCAAATAATAGCACCAAGAAATTGTCATATTTTAAATTTCTAGCTCATCGTGGTAAGAATGTCCACTGTAAATCTAAACGAGTTCTAAGGAAGAAAATTCTGGACCATTTCAAAGATGAGATTGGACGGTAACTGAAGCGGTTTCTATTAAGGAAGGCATTCCTTGTCAAATACCACACACCTCTCGTACGTGAGGCTTAATCGAGCGTTTTATTGAGCCATTCATGGTAAATTTCAACAAATTCTTCTTGTTTAGAACAGCACATGAAGCTCTATAAGGCGTGGTGATGCGGCGTGCAAAAACGGAAAGCGACAAGATCTAGGGTGCTGGAGACATTCGACCCCGTCTTCATTATCGCGAGCACGCACACGTGCACGCATGTGAACGAGGTCGGTTGTGTGCGGATCCCGGGTTGGAGTGATCAAATCCAAAAACTGTGAGAACCCTCTAGCCGTTTTGGCAACTGCAAACTATATACGCTGAGCAGGTGAATGCAGCATCAGAATGTGTGGTTACGATTGTGTGAAGCTTTGAGAAAATAGTTTTTCTGAGACCATTGTCTGCGAGCTCGAATTTTGGCTAAAACTAGTTCACTTTCTTACTGGGAGGTGGGGTCCTTGGTTCACCTCTGCAACAGTGTGTTACCAGAGTACACGAATATCAAGATATTTGCCCTAGTAGATTATTGAAGTTCGCAAACCAAATGCAACTGAAGCGCCAAGTGGGCAGATGCGCCTGAGCGATATATTCGCTTTACATTTGCACTCCCTCGAGTACTACCCATAAATACCGCACAGGAAGAAAGTGCCAACATACAATGAACATGATGACTCTTAACCGAAGCCCTGCTAAATCAATTACTCTTATTAATTATTTTCAACACCGATTTCTTTTTCTGTGCACATGTACTAGAACCCATTTATTTACGCGACCTCATGAAGACATGGAAGATTTATCCATGTGATGCGACAGGAAGATCGCATATCATCCTAATTCACATGGCTACCTCTCAAACAAAAGAGTAAACACATACACTTAAGATATAAAAAATTAAAGAGCCGCTACCAAAATAGTAGAAAACAATACTTTACAGGTAGCGTTTACGCAAATTTTGGGGTCATATCTTAAATCCTTAACGTTGAGCCAAGAAGGTGGCTTTCGAAGTTCCTTATTTTTAAAAAATGGGAGAATATCGAGATTACATTTGTGATGACCAAAAAACCCGTCTTCAAGGTGGCGAATTTGATTGACTAAATTCCTTTGATTAACCTCTTGGGTCTATTTGATAGGAAAAAGAAATTAATTTGCGGTGCTTTTTTAACCGACTGAAATGCGTCAAAACACAGAAACTATGGCAGTCAAAGCAAAAAATCCGTGTGGGATGTTCGCTGAGACAATTCCTACAGTTTTGAAACTTATCTAAAAAAACCTCTTCAGACGTCTCATCGACCACATAGGGCTATGTCTGGCACAGTGATGTTGACAACACTAGTTGTCCGTCAATCATCATCTAGATGGTTGGTCGCGGCACGATTCCTGCCATGAACAGATCCGGCCTAGCAGCTGATTTGTCTCATCAGAAGAGCACTGGGATGACAGAGGAACTGCCAGTTCGCGAGAGTGGGAGGTGCATGCCAATCAAAAGGCTGAAAAAATATTGGAAATAAAGCAAAAAAATACAAATGGAAGTGGATACTGAGGAACCTGTGATATTCCTTACTAAATTTCAAGGATGATGAGAATGAGTATGGTTTTCAATTCGTACTTTACTGCTTTAAAACCGTATCCTGCCAGGTGATGAAATCAGCAATAACCAATTTAGCGTCAATTCCTTGATTTAACTATGCTTAGGTTTTATTACAGTTCCTCCATATGTTAGAACTATTGACATTTACAATGCAGCGGGCTCCCAACGTTATTTTATGAATACTGGAGTCAACATGAAAAAAAATGATTGCCAGTTGCAACAGTTTTGCTTTAAGCAAAACTGTGTATACAGATATGCGTCGACGAATGTTTGAAGCAACCACATTAGGAATCTGCTGAAGTGCGCTCAGATAGGAGTGACCTTCACCATCCCGGAGGTTGCACAAACATAATTCATCTGGTGCGCCCTTTATCTTTTTTCCACATCTTTCGGAAATTCCCTGGCGGTGTGCAAATACATTACGCAGGACGAAACAGGCTAACGTGTGCGAAGAGAGAAGTTGGGCAAAATGTGGTCAAATGACCCGAATATTGCCATAGCGTAAATGAAAGGCGACCAAGGCGAAAGATGGTGGGAACTTTACCAGTTGGGGCAAGACCGGTAGATTTCCAATTGAGACTGGATGAGTACACGATAATGCCAGTGCCAAAATAGTGTGAATATATTCATGGCATCTTCTCAACGTGACTTTGTTGGAAACGAGCAAATCAAAGTGCTGGCATAATGTTCAGGTTGGCTAGTGTAGATGACAAACAAATGCGCGTTGTAGTCAAGATCGCAACTACTGAAATGAAGTCTATTTCCTTTTAAAGGAAGTTAAACGAAGAGTACAAAATTGATAATAGGCAAACGTTCAAGTGTAAACTCATTGAAATATTGGCACGTGTATCTACCTGAAGATGTTTAGCAAAAAAATTAGCCATTACGGCGGCCAAGATACACCCGTCTAAAATATCGTTAGCAATGAAAATGCACTCTGCCGAAAGCGTGGAATTCATGACGAACGTAGACGAAAGAAAGCAAAACAAGTAAATCACCTGACAGTGGACAGTAAATGGCTGACAATTTAGCCAGAAGCAAACTCCTGATTTGATAAAAACCAGCCAGCTGCCATGATGCAGACATACTTAAGGTGACTAATACATTTTCCAAGCCCTAGTATTTCAGTGAAGCTAAGGGAAGGGATAAAAAGGAGAAAAAAAACGAGAAGAGAATTTCAGGACAAGAATAGCGGTTCGTGTCAAATGTCAAGCTTTGTTCAAAAGGCGTCAGTGACGTTCACAAACAGTACTCCTATTGAGGTGCAAAAGTGCTCCAAATGCTGAAAGTACAGTCGGTTACCACACGAAGACGTATATAGATTTGTACTAAATTAGGGTGTTTTAAATACTTATTCATTTTTGATATCAAATCGAAATCCTCATTATCTCTATAACTAATTTTGGCAAAAATCTGAAAAAAAAATTGTTGCGATATGACTCTATGAACACATTATAAAACGATTCATGTTAACAGCTCTTCTTAGACATAAAACACGATGGATGTTTGAAGGCAAATTTCATGAGTAGATTGCATTCACAGCACACACATTACTTGATAGCATCCACAAAACATCCCATGGTTGGATATGTTAGTGGAAAGTTTCCACAGCTAGTGATTTCGTCGACCACAATGGAGATCCATACACATGAGATTCCCCAGTTACGCAAATAATTATTCCTCCATTTCTGTTATTCGCCCCCAAACAATCAACGACCATATATTCATCATAACGAAATAGGATATTACGCTTGAACTTATTGATACGCGTATAGTTTAAGCGAGGGCACAGATTGGCAAAAGAGTACAGGCATATGGATGCCTGGGAGGTGGCCTTGTGTAGCCCGTGGAGCTTCCTTGGGCTGGAAATGGAACAGTAATGTGTACAAGCCTGAGCGGATGAATGAGCTTAGGTCTGTGATTCGGAATTGAGCAAATATCAGGTAGTCAAGGAAGAGTTGAGTGAACCCATGGTTCGCCAAGGTAAAGATCAGCGATCCGAAGCAGAAACAGCTATGCTCGAAATACTGCACAATTTCAGTAGGGACGACTACCATTTAAATAAGGTGTTTTTTTGACAATTTAGCCGGCGTAATGTTTTAGCACTATGATATCGAGCTCAAATGAGGGGTGGAAGGTGGTATGCTTGATTACAAAGGGGAAAATTAAAACAAAAAATGCTTTTCTGATGAGTTTTAGGATTTTCAAATCCCGATTCGCATCGGAAATAGTATTCATTCAGTCTCTCAATTGATTTGGCACATTGAATTAGCGGTTTTGGAGCTGAATAAACCTTCCCGGCCATTCAAATTATGCCCATCCATTTAGTTTGTTATTGGCATTTCCCGGACACACAAACTATGGATCCGGCCTGGTCTTCAGAAGACCAGGATGAGCGGACTACAGTCCACTAGGTCTAAACCAATATAGAACGTACACTGTGGGGATTTGACCTTTCAAGCCAGACTAGCTTTCTTCCAGCATCGTCCGCCACGAAACTCAGAGAGCTTACCAAAACGTGCTAGTCACGCGAAAAATAGCTAGTTTAACCCTACAAGGCCACAAACATATGTCAGATGAAGGCATAGATGTGGGGCCAACACTACTTGGCCATTGGAATTCTTCGTCACTTGGGGCCAGGTCATTCCAACACCTACTACATTTTGACTACCTCTTCTGGTGTGTTCACTTTGTGAAATGCGATTTCAACATCGATGCATAAAGTCAACGAACAAATTTCTGTCGATTTCGAACTGACTGTGAAAATTAAAGCATTTTATTTTGGCATTGAATGCAGGAGTGATGAGCATCAGTTAAGTGATATGAGGGAATATTGAATATGATCATCACCTGTAATATACGACATTACACCAGAAAAGTTTTTATCCATCTACGTTACGCTCCATTCTTTAAACCTGACCTACTTTCACTTGTAACCCATTGACCTAAGATGGCAATGCATAAAAAGTGTGCTCAGTGGATAAAAATGTTTGACTCTAGAAATTGCCAGATGTAAACCTAAAAATTTTCAGTAAAACGCATTTGCTATTTGATATTTACGAGCTGAGAGGTGAAATGCGTTGCTAGTTTTTGTATTAGGCAGTTGATATCTGGCATTTCCTGCTGAGCCCTACATTCGTATCATTTATATTTCCGAGCATTCGTAACTTATATCACGCAGAGTAAGTGGCACACAATTTTGAAGAAATCTTTATCATGAACAAATAAGCTGGTTTTTATTCCACTGATAAGGGTGGTTTAAGGATACTTCCTCATTGACAAACGACCGACCGCCGACAAGAAATTAAGTTGGGGTCCATTCATTAGCACGGAGTGAGCAAACACGGAGTGTCATAGAGGACTTACCTTAAGAAGTTGACAGGGTGTTTGTCCAAAGTTTTTTATCATCCCCTCGATAGAGGCGCGTTCAACTGGATCGGTGACGTCATCCAAATCAACAGCCCCCTCGTAGGTCAGGTAGTAATAAACATTGAGAGCATTCTCGGCTGCTTTGCCTCGTTGCTTATAGCTGTTACGGGGATGAAATAAAACACTTTAAAGCGCTAGAACGCATAAAATACTCGTTATATCGGTACCTACCATTTAATTCTTTGTTACTCAAATATAAATTGATTGAATGTTGTCGCCTTCATCCATTTTTTAATATTGTTCAGTAGTTCAAGTACGTACCTCTCTACTTGACAGAGAGTTGCATGGTAAGTGGACTGGGTTTAACAAGAGAAATATGAGATGAGACGGGGATCACAGATAGGGTAATACCAACCAGCAGAAGGATGAGCGTGGTGGCGTGTAGACACCGACATGAGCAGGACTTTATTTGTACTATCTTTAAAATTGGGAAGGAGGAACTGGGCCACCGTAGTAGTGCAGCTGCCACACCCACCAAAACACTTCTTAATGTTTAAGCAGTAAGTTAAGCATGATTCATTAATTGAAAGGGCACTTTGGCTGTTGAGGAACACATGTACAATCTCGATGCTAAATTACTGCGGGAATGGAGCAAAGTAGCCCTTCATTCATGCTTTTGACCTCGAATTTTAAGGTTTTAATAAAAGTTGGCACTATTATCGAATCTTTAGTCTTTTTTTACTAACTGCTAAAGTTTTGTTGACACTTCAAACAGAATATTATCAAGGAAGTTTTAAACAAGCTTCAGTTAACTACTTCAATAAAGTACACGACAAATGAATTGAAACAAAGCACCACTTCGTCAGCAGGTGACATTTCCACCTATGCAGAATCCTTGTGGTGCTGATTGTGTTAAAACGTAGCTGCAAATTCAGAAGCACGGATGAAGGCAGCTAACAGAGGGAAGGGTATTTTCGCAGCAAATTGCAAACACATGAACGCGCAGCCACCTGTTGAATTCTCTTGCGCCGTCAAATGTGCATTCGTGACGTAAATTACAGTTTGAGGACATTAAGAAGTCAAAGCATATCGTGCGTTCAGGCACTCACTTACAACTTAGCACATTTTCAAAAAGACATTTAAAATAGAAAAAGAGAAAATAGTTTTAGTGCTAGGAAAGAGAGTCATAACTAAGGGGCCCAAAGAAATAGTCAATAAGGTCATGATTTTCAACTATTCACTTCCAGGCAATGAGTGAGAGCTCACGAGATAAAATTGCATAATTTTTCATGATTTTTTCTAATCCGCCTATTTAAATAAAAAAACAAATGAGACAAATGCACATCGTAAGAAAATAAAAATTGAATTTCTACTGAATTTCACCGAGAAAACTACAGAAAAGCCAATTTGAACCATTGATAGTTAAACCTTCCATCCATACTCGCACTTTTTTACACTGAATTAATGCTTTGTTAAAAAGTTGAATACGGCTTAAAATTGGAAATGGTCACCAAGTTTAGCTATTCATACCCAAATTATAAAACGACTTTCTCATAAGTAGGCTACCAATACATAAGCGGGCAAGGCCCGGTACCACTACCTGCCTTTAGGTAATTTTGGCATTCTTTTATATTAGAGAGACTCATCAAAGAAAGTGAAAGTTCAGCACACCCAAAGATGAGATCAATCCATTTGTGGAGGTTGGCAGAAACATGGTCGGATTCAAGGGCCCCTCGGTGAATGCGAATGAACTCTTCAGGTGTCGATGCCCATGGGGGAAGTTCCACATCATTCACCTTTTCGCCACTCAGTTGTGGACGACCCAGGTCAAAGCCTGCAGATACAAGTTAAGTTTAAACAGTATGAACTTGAGCAGTTACACATACGAAACATATTGATAGTACGAAAACTGTCGTAATAGGAATACGATTCAAAGGTAGCAATGCAAGGTAAGCGTTAACAAAATAAACCAAACCTGAGACATTGTGCCAGAGAGAACCCCGTTAAGTAGATAACCTGGCAAAGTTGCTACCCTGTTTCATAATTAACAAGTGTTTTACCGAGAGCTGCCTGCTGCCAAATAAACGTACTTGCTGATAAGCTGGGCTACATATAAAACATGCGTAAAGCTTGAGATTGGATCTATCAAAATCACGGAAATATTCTTGCTTTAACTTACGCCTCTATTATACCAATAACATGAAATGTCCTTATTTTATTCGATGCATTTACCATTGGAAATCAGCATAGAATAAGTATGCAACCTCTACCCCTACGATGACGACAATAAAGATCCTGAGAGTGTGCACAAGCAGTACATCTTTTATGGTTATTTAAGCTAATGTACATCCTTGGCAAATGCCAGACCGTGCTGCGCTACTTATTGTGCATCGCAACCCATCCTAGTAGTGACCTTCATTTTGAGGAGGTAAGATAAAATCATCTGCCTTTAGACATTCTTTTGTTAGAAGTCTGGTAAACTGGGCTAGGTGAAACGTCTAGCGCCCATGAAGTGTCGTATCAGACACTTTTCAAAGAGTGCAGAAGAATATTCTTGCCGATAATTTAAACGTTTCAGGTTGCGAGCCTCAATACCCCACACATGTATTAAAAGGTTCTCTGTTGGTAAGGATTGGTAACTACAGATCTTTTGAAATGCTCGAACACTCAGGTAAGTAAAATAAAAGCAAAAAATCACAAGTCTTTTAAATAATTATCGCATTTGAAAGACTACATGCGATTTCAACTGCCTGATGCTTCAACTTTAGCTAACTTGCAAATGATAATGCAAGCGAAATGGATTGGAGCATTACTATCGAACGTGTTTGACTTAAAAAACATTACACTAGTTCTGTTTAGCATCTTTGGAATTCCATATGATACATTACGCACAGATCTTAGAAATCAAACGTGAAGAGTTGCAATAACTGGACTGTTTCTCCGCCGCGCATTCCTTGTTAAAAGTCAATCATTAAGGATAGGACTCAATTTGGCATAAAGTTACGAGCTTCAACCCACATGGCTAGAATGGGAAGGTATGTTCATTTATACTTCGCTTAATGTAATCGAATCTATACAGATTATATCGTGTCAGTGCGACTTCGAAGGATTCAATCATACAAATAACTAGGCCATCTACAACTGACTCGATTGCCATGGTTACGTTCAGCAACCGTACATGCAGAACATTAACCTAGATTTTCTCTTACTAAAATATTGCGGAAGAAACTAAAAATCAATCACCGTTACTATGATGTACTCTGCTGTAAGGTTTTTGGCAAGAATACTCGAGTTATAATTTAAACGATTACGATAACACTGAATCAAGAAAACGGTCTTGCCCATTAAACAGTGTGTGAGGCCTATTTTGTGTTTTGTGAGTCAATTAATATACAGAAAAGTGGTGGATATAAAATGGATCGTTTACGCAACAATTAACTTCGACAAAAATGTATCAAATCCGGTTTTTATCTTAAGCAGGTTCAGCAGTAACCCAAAGCCTCATGCATGGGATAGGTGAATGTTGATTTGACTTAGCGAAGGGAGTAAGATACAGATGCGTAAATAAGGTTAAGAATAAATGAAGGAGAAATGTCTACCCAGCCTTCCCTGGCAGACAGAAGCGGACCAACAAAACTAGCAAAAGTGCCAAATAGAGAAAGAAAACGCAAAATGCTTGTCTACCAGTGAGGTATGTGAAAAAATTACAACTTCTCCTCGCATATAGAAAGGTTATGTATTTTTACGTTGACGGCAAGCTGAAACTACCACCGACAGGAGGGCGGGAAAGGTTGCTTGTTCGTGCTAGTAGCATGACATGGTAGATGGGGAGGAGGTTGGCATGGATGAGATGCTTACCGTTGTCGTTCCGCAAAAAGTCGGGGAAGTAGAAGAATTCGGGGATGAGTTCACGGTTGTCATAGGGGCTGGACATTATCAACGACCAAGCCGTAGGTATTGAGTTGAATTGGCGATCCGCTATATCGAACCTGGATAAATAAGAGTGGAAGGGCAGAATACACAGTAAATGGTAGCGCTACAACTCTTGAGGGCAGTTATTGATATTGTGAAAGTGCTTTCTCATGAGTAGCTTGTAGGACGGATATATATGAGACTATGGGTATTAAAGAAGTCAACTTCTAAGTTTCAATTGAATGCACACCGTTGGCCTTGAAGATGGATGTGAAGGCTGGTGAAAGGCTCGATTCGAACGAGGTAGTGCATGACTCCTGCTGCACTGGAATAGTGTGTACCGTAGTGGAACTTGGATATCTCACCGCTGGGATCCTCGAACGACTCATACCTTTGTAAAAAAAAGAACGAAGTTAACCTGAGAACTTGTTTTTTAGTTCGAAACTTGGTTGATGAAATCGTCATTTTCGGATGGGGACTCATTCCAAAAAATTGAATACAACTATTTATCAAGGGACCTTAATCTATGTGATTGCTTCAAACAAAAGTACCAAGTGATGCACCTGAAGGAATGAACGGAATAGGGGGCAAGGTTATGTAGCTGAAGCAGAACGCAGCGTCTTGGGATCGGAAAATGGTGAAATGAGATTTGGAGCAATCGTGCTAGAATGGATTAAAGAGCTTACAACCTAATATTTGTGATCTCGAGGCCGCAGGACTAAGTAAAGAGAATTCAATTCACGTAAAATGTTAACAACAGTCATTGTTTTAGCTTGCAAAAAGTTATTTGAACTTAATCGCGATGACATATTCTATGCACTCTTGCCGTTTTTAAATCAGTGCATACAACAAATATAGGAGGATTGGGACGTTGAGCCTCAACAAGGCTCAACACAGAAAGCTTAAATGAAAAGATGCAAGCCTTTAGGCACAGAATTCTTTTGTCCTTGGTGTCATCAGCCAAAGATGCAGGAGAAGAATCGTAAAATGCGAGTGCTGTCGGTTTACACAGCAAAGAATATTCGTGATGATACTGAAAAAATTGCTCAATACCGATAGGATATAAGTTAATGTTTTGTGAGTTGCAGTCGTGGAAAAAATAGAGATGGGTCAAAACTCAGTTATCATCTCGACTTTATTGGTCCTTTATACTAAAATCCCACATTAAAAAAATTTCACAATCAAAAATGTAGGTAGTTTGCTTTGTTCCCGCATGCTCACTAACGGTAAAAGTCGATCTGGAGTTCTCCTAACAGCCCAAGGGTCACCTTTCCTTTGGCTTTTAGTATTAGAAAAACGGTTTGGTGTTTGAACACTTAATGGCAAATAACCGTTAGGAAAGGCTGAAATGACCAGGGACTTATTCAGCAGAAATGAATGTCTCATGTCCCCGAGCTAATAGCTTTCATTTTAACTCGACTATAGGAGTAAGATTGCATTAATTGATAAAATTTGGCACGTGATGAAAGAGTGGGTATTTCCATGTTCGAATGTTGGATGCAATCAAAATTACTTAGTAGCTCAAGTGAATTCCAACGGAACACATCGCACCCTTGGATGACAAACCACAATGCAAATTAAGGCTGAATTGTTTCGAACAATGAAAGTTATTGCATGCATCAAGAAGGGTGTTTCAATCACTCGATGCTGATTAAAAACTAAAACTTACTTTTCGCGAACGGTGGTAATATTGTTAGGGTTGACAATGCCAATGGGTCGAGAGAGATCTCGAAATGTAGCAGGTTCATTAAAGTCCAACTGCTTCGAAGTGTAGTCTGCCAAAATCCAGGGTAGCTAAGGGAAAATTAAGTGGTCCCCGTCAATTATGTGTACATATTCCCATTCTTCTATTAGCGAAGCATCGGCAAAATCAGACGCTGATTAGTTGTAGCACAAAACACATAAATGCTTCACTTCAAGGTATTCCATCTGAACGTGCGTATTGTTAATACCATTTTCCAAAAAATTTAAGATATATCATTTCGATGTCTCCAAGACTTAAGCTGTGTGATACTGTTTCACTTTCTACTATCGCCAGTAACAACTTTTTTAAAAAGTCAACATACTAAAATTGATGAATGTGTTTACACGAAGAAAGGAAATTTGAACAGAGAGTGGTATTTCACTGAACAGAAAACAAATTCAAATGCATTAAAAACCAAAACTATGGGTGTTTTATACCGTAGACTCCCTGCTCGCATCTTGGTGCTATTTACTATAGATCGGCACACAAAGTGAATAAATTTCAAGGTTAATTGTTGAGGCAACTTTCCTCTTTTTCGATTAAATCGAATTTCTGGTAGAGCCAAGAAAGTAGCTTGCTGATGATTTACGAAAAACGAGTTCGAGCAACAAAACCGCTCATTCGCTTAAACCCCTGAATTGAAAGGCGAATGGTAAAGCAGCTTATTCACCGATGTGCCTAAATTTTCACACCGATCCGATGAAAACGAGAGACCTGAGATGCCCGATTTCGCACACGCATTACGGGGAGTACACTGAGCTGTATACAAAAATCATTGAATAAATCAAACTTAACAAACCAGTGCAAAGTTGGTGCAAAGGAGGAAATTCGCCTACAACAGCATAAAAAATCAACTTTCCAATTTATTGTCCCAATTTTGAAAAGGTAAAGGAGACTAATTTTACTTGCTTGGCTGACTAGAATAAATGCGATATGAAACGTGACTCTGAAGATCACACACTTCGATAGTCATTTAACATTGAATTCATAACTGGATTGAAAAATGACTTTAAAATTTAACTGGGTGTAACCACGATATCCAGTCGCAAAGATTTTGTCTTCCTTTAAAGCGTGCATAACAATTTGATTATATCTACGACTAAAATGCTACAATGCTATATAAAACAGCAATCGGATTACTTTAATTCATGATATAGCCAGCATTTAATACCAGTGCTGGTAGTATTACGCCCATTTGATGCGAAACTTCCTCCTCCGACAATGAGTACACTCTTCAAAGCTTTTCCATCACATCACTGGACACAATATTTCACCATATTATGAGGGATCGCAATTTGCTTTCACAACCCAAAGATAATGTTGCGGTGCCGCTGCAGCGCGAAGCGACAGAAATTAGCAGACATTCGCTAATAGGAACGAGGTACCTTTTAGCCTTGCTATTCCGTTGCCTCAACATGGACGACAACCTAGTTTTGTTTAGTTAACCTGGACTAACTTCGTAACTGTATGCATGCGCTTGGATCTACATTTAATTCAAGTTGCACACAGCAATTCAACACGTATAGTCCATACGTCTGCAAAACTATGGCAGACGCAAGTAGACGAGATCATAAGATAGAAGTGGAAGGTACGTTGCCGTGGAGATAGTAAACTTTGAAATCAGTGAAAAAAAATTCAAGCATTTCTGTTGTAAATCAATGTACAGAAAAAGCGTTTGGCTGTAATTTGCTTTTAGTATTCGTGTGTGACGAACACATTTTGTTATATACTAAAAACTACATTGGAAATACCATAACCTAATATGCCATTCTCCAGTATCCCACACCAAACCCCTAAAGCTACTGTAAAATCATTAAAGGTTTGACTATATTGGATACAGCCAGTGAGGTTCCACTGCTGACACTCAAAGCAATTTAACTTCGCAATATTTAACCTGGAAAGAGAAATGATAGAGTGATCAGCTATGGAAACCTATCTTGTTAATACCGCCCCAAACTCGAAATAAGCGCGAAAACCAAATGCCAATTCCAACAAACGAGTAAAGACGGCACTTCTATCTGAATGTTTCTGAACATTTCAAGGATGCTGGAGGATGGACCAGTGGGGACCCCAAGTGCTCTCACCCTACTACAAGGGCAATGAATGCGGAAGAGACCAATGCAGAAGCACAAAATTTGCAGGATTATTTACTAACAGATCAGCTATTCTTACGACTTGATCGGCTCTGAATTGGTTCAAATACACATCAAGAACTGCACCATCTGGCCCGGCAGTAAAGATGTGATGATTCATTTTGTGGAAGCACCGTGAAAGCGTGCATACCGCTGATGTCATGCTTATCAAAATTGCTATTCATGTAGCACTGACAAAGTTGTGCAAATACAAACACACCAGCGACTGAGGAGGCTCGACAACTGTTTATCATTCTTTGGCCAAGTGTCAACTTCTCCGTGAAATGAAGTGCACTGTATGTGGTTCCGTTAGCATCAAAAGCGGGACGCTCAGTTGCTGACATGAATGCAGGGCATTGCATTTCTGTTAAACCCAAACTGAACGTATTCCTGTGACGCCATTGGAAATCTATAAGTAGCATAGAAGCGTAAATAATAATCCACCAATTTATTCGAAATGTTTCAGTGATTAAAACTGCTGATGGACTATCAAATGATCAAACAATAGCAGTCGTGAGCAGTGGTCACTATGGGAGAATATACAGTTAAAGTGTTTACAGAGGCTGTTCTAATTTTAGCGAAATTAATCAAATAAAAGGCACACATATGCCGACATTTAAATAAATCATTGGTTTTGTCAAAAAAGCATCATATCAGATAAGTTCTTCAAACCAGACACCCAAACCACAGCCAGGCACACCCCCAATCTATCGCTGCGTTGGTGTATCCTAAGGACAGTCATTACTCGATGTCGGCGATGGGATGTAAATAATGGATGTTTTTGTTAGGCATACTTCTGCCATATTTAGAATTTTAGCAATACAGTGAAAAGTGAAAAAGAGAGCATTGATTTGTGTCTGGGATGTCGGATCCGCAGGAACCTACCCAAAACCGAAATGCTCCAGTGGCTGTGCAAGACGGGGATGCGAAATCTTATATGGGAAATATCACACGCCAATGGAAACAACGCATGAATCAGGATTACCCATTTGTCTTATAGTCAGGTCCTCATGCACACAATGTGTATGCCGCCACTTGTTTTAATGAGGTTCCGCATCTACTGTCTCGTACCAGACAATAACTAATCATCGTTAAGCATTACAATAAAATAGTGGGAAATAACGGGATTCAACAGTCTGCCTGTAAGAAGAACTTTCCCAGTGTAAAACCAGCAAGCTTGTAAATTAACATTGGGTTGAAGTATTAAACCTGATAATTTCCAAGCAAAATTGCTGTAATAGAATTCTAACTTCACTAAAAAATGAATAACTGAAATCAAAAAGAAGCATGAATGACTCGGCTGGAAAAGTGGTACGATTAAACTTCATTGAGGCACGTTACAGATTCGGTCCGCTTTCAAATTATAGCAAATTCAGGCTGGGTGTTAAATGAAAATTCGTCAAGACTAAATTCTCACTAGTAAGATAGAAGAAAGTAAGAAATAATCACGCCATATAAGGTAGGAATTAGGCGATTCCGATGATTGTAGAATAAAAAAAAAAACGCTGATCCAGCCGAAACATGAATGAAGATACCGTCGGTAATCTAAATGATAGCCTCTCGATCACCACTGTACGCATATGAAGTCTCTAACGAAAGGTAGGCCAATGCGAAGGAACTAATTACTCGTCTATGAATGGGGGCTTTCGTGCGAAGACACAGAAGAAATATTGGTGAATGAAAAAAGTAGAGTGATAACAGTAGTAAAACAAGGAATAGTAAATGGGACGAAAACGTACCACCGGGTATTGACTCAGATCGTTGTAAGTTCGACCAGCAATTGTATTGAGGCGCATCAAATACTCGAAATTCGAGATCTCGCGATTAGCCCAACGCTACACAGAGAAGAGACAGAACTCAAGTTGAACATCATTCGCTCTCCAATTATAAAGCGTTAGAGATACAAAACATGATTTATTTCTAGGTTAACTATCAAACACTTCACGAGGTTCCACAGAAATCTAAAGTGTTGCAAGTGAGTTGATTACGAGTTCGATGACGCTTACTCGCTCTGCGATAGCAAAATTGCATAGTCGCTTTTCCAGCCGTTGCAAATACCTAAATAGAAGCATCGATAGTGATTGCCGTTGAGTATGTCAAAATTCCAATTCACTAGGCTTGAAAGCAGCTCCAAATAATCTACCTTCCCGCATTAGCTATAAATCTCTGCGTCTTGTTCAGTTTGTCGCCAACATACCCACGACCCAGAGGCACATAAGTCAATTCAAGGTGGTGCAACTATCCCTCCTGCACGTAGGTCATGTCAATTTATCACACAACTATACATACACATATATTAAAGCAACCATGCGCGATATTTGGGTGGAAAACATAAGAACCTTTTGTAGCGGACGAATGCATTGAAAGATTCCTGCATGTGTGTGTGCAGGTATGGTGGAAGTTGCTGAGAGGGGGAGAGTGGGGTATGGTCCGCTCGCCCTAGCATGTACCTTTGTGTCAGCGTTGAAGGAATGAATACGCCAGCGGACCCCCTTCCCACTCAAAGCAGGCAAGCGCGACCAAGTGAGTGTGGCTAGTAAAGGGTGCAGGGACATTTAGAAAGGAGGCTTAACTTTTACTGGTAAGGCGCGGGAGAGCCAATCGAGGTGCAAGGGGAAGGGGGCCTGGCGTTTGGAGCTAGGCCTTGTCCAGACAGTAAGAGTTATGTCCAGAGTCAATTCCTTTTTATCCAAGAGACTGTTCTGCGTGTTCAGCATTATTTCACTATTAATGCTGAATAATAGAGGATGTTTAGCCCTCTGAATCTAAGAAAATAGGAAGAGGAGCCTGCGAAAACCGTTCAAGGCATCGAGTCCAACGTGAGTTCACGTTCAGTTGGGCCAAATAAGATTGTAGCTACCTATCTAGATTCTGCCTGTTGGAAAGACATCTATTTACAGAGTCCGCGTAACCCGGAGCTTCTAATCTGATAAATTGTCCAACTTCTAACCTATTAAAAGGTTGTTATTAACTTTTTTCCTATTGGCAACGACAACGCACACACATTGCTTTCAAACGCTTGTCTTAGTTGGCATCCAGGGCTAATTTCATGATTCATCAACCCGTAGGAAAAGTGTGGGAGAAGCGGGCCTATGGTCTCGACCGAAGACGATGGGTTATCGCAAAAAATTGACAGCAAAGTCAGATTTGTCCTGTTAGTATTCTGTACATCTTGATTCATTTGCGAAACTTCATGCAGTCGATTTCCTCACCAAAATTGTTGCGCCCGGAATTAAATCGTTATTATTTTGAAAATGAATGAGAGAAAATAACAATAACAATAGATGCAAAAGTCACATATCCGAATCGCTAGTGGTCATTTAAGCTTAGGTTCAGTGAAATAGCTAAATTCAACAAGCCATCGCACGATCACTTGGTGTGCACTTTTGCGGCTTTGAACCACCTGACGAATTGATACGCCATATTCTGCCAAAGCGCCACACTCATAGCCACCCCAATAGCAGTGTTTATGCATGAATATCAATATCAATAACAATTTGCCCACCTCAAGGAAACCATTTTAACCATTACTTGGTGGAAAAAAAAACAGGTTAGCAGCAATGTGTCCCATTGGTTTATTAAATCACAGCACCAGAACATACAAAAACCGCTTGAAGAAAATGAGCAAAAAAGAACAAGGTAACGAATTTTGCATTAACATGCAATCACTTAAAACCCACCTCCATAAGTCGCGAGAACTTGAACACCTCCGCCGGACTACGACCCTTGCGGTAGATCAACTGAGGCATGTTGTGACTCATGATGCAAGTGTAGATCTTGTTCCGATACTGAAATTCAGATAGTAAATTGCTGCTAAAAAGATTTCGTATTGAGGATAAGAGTTTGTCTAGATCGAACTAGGCTATGCGAATCGGTTCTTTTTCGAAAAACCAACCATGTAAGTGTTTACTTATAAGACGTCAGTAAAGTCAAGGCCAAGTAAGCGACTTACGTTAGCAGGGAAGTTGAAGAGATAGTTTTGAAGGTCAATTAGAAATATTTCGATTGCTGAACGTCGTAAATTGTAGCGACAAAGATGAACTTCTCGAATATCATTCATGCTGAGCACAATGGAGAAATCTTTTGTGCACTCGCTTTTACGGAATTGATCTTAAGAGCAATCAGAGAAGGATGTCAGAATGCATGAGAACAATGATATTTTTAAATGTTTGTATAAACCATGACAGCCTAAAGACTTCAGTTTCTAACAGTATTACACTTACCATCGCCAGCAACATCAATCTCGAACGAGACTGGCTCAGCGCGATTCTGTAAGAAGTGCAATGAAGTTGGCGTTATGGCAAACCACCCTGGTACGATTCGGATAAGAGAAATGAGTTGGCATGGGGCTCGCATTACTTCACCCTTCAGTGGAGCGGGTTCCTCAAAGAAAAGTGAAGCTGGGAGCACCAACTCCTCTTCCTCTTCTTCGTCATCCCCCACACCCTCTCCACTTGTTTTTTCCTTTACGCCACCTTTCACCAACTTCTCATGCGTTTTTGCATAATCGTCCGTAGTAACAGAACTATTCACAGAAAATTCATCAATTTCCGATTTTGCTTGGTCAGAATCATTGGAGGCCTTCGATAGTTCGGTGCTTGAATTGGAATCTAATCTAAGAACAGACTGCAACAGTGAGCAACTTTTAAAATAAGTCAAATCACTATGGTCATGATAAAATGAGATAAAAAAGAAGTCTTGAGGCAAATTCAAAAGTGCGGGACACCATAACCACCTGAGGTAAGAATGGAGAATATTAGAAAAGCGTATTTGAAGCAAACGTTTCAAGCAGTCATGGTCCGAAAGAAAAAGTCTTCATGGACAACTTACTTGTCACAGGACTTATCGGAGTCCCCCTGTTTAATCATTTTCCAATCATCGTCAGCAACGAAATCACCCTTCAAGTCCTTATAGCCCACCAGGGATCCCTTGCGTATCCTCTGTCGAAGAACGCCTGTCTGGTCAAATGCCAACGCAGACAGTACCCCACACTGCACAGCGGAGAGACTCCTCATCAATGGAGGTCTGCTAGGATCTTCATCGACAAGGGGATACTTTGATGTCACATTCTTCCCTTCCGTCTGTTGGAGGAGAACACACAGCTGTTCATCACTGATGACTGTACTCAATTTTTGAAGTAGCCTTTTGCCGTCTTCAAGGGTGGAGAGCTTCCGGATAAAACCATCACGCTCCTCACTTGCCGACAGGTGCTTCGAGAACCAGGGATTCGGCTCCATCATACTTCGCATCCGAAACGATGACTCGAGGTCAGAGAGGCGCCACCGAATCTCTTGCGGAAATCTGCAAAAAATTACTGAATATCAGTAAAATAAAATCAGCTGGCAGTGTTATTATTCCTACGTTTAAACCAAATATACCGCGTTCAAACGTGTTATAGTAGATATTTATTGCCTGCAAAACCAAGTTCACGGTCCATCAGAATCGACTGACTATTAGCTCCTAGTAGCTTACATCCAAGGCAACTAGCATTACAGCAGTTTACAACCACCGAAAGATTTCTGACCAGCGCAGCGTTCTAGAGTTTACGTCAAGGTTTCCGTTGGCAGAAAGCTTAACCGGAAAAACGGGAAGAAGGCACACGGCGCTACATCATTAGAATCCTTATATTGATAAAGCATTTTGCACCTTAAAGGATGATATTTTGGTCAGTGTTCAATATTTTACATTATTTATATGTTCGGATTGACATTTTTGGCCCTTTGAAAGTACCTAAATGAGCAAATGATCTTCTTTCCTGACCAGTAATTTGGAGAGTCGTTGTTTAAAACAAGAAAATGTCCAAAACCGTAGGAGTGCCCAAAAAAATAATAATTTGGAATGAGAAATGAGTATTTTTCAGGACTCTTAACGAAGATCATAACAACCTTTGAATGCCAACAAAAACTTATTTCCTGCATGTGTTTTAAGGTAAACATCCTTGATTTTTTCGAGGGATGCAATGATGACTTTAATTAAGTTTATAAGTACCAAAAACTTTAAGCAAGTTCAAATACAGAGACAGTAGGGGAAAACTTTTCATAGGTGAATTTGGAGTATTGTTAAGGAACGTGTGACATACGGTGAAAACCATAGAGCAGTAGATGAAGCGCGAACGAATTCGAAGCGCAAATTCAGCCATCTTTTACGTCGGATATTAGCAAGAACACGAGTCTCCCTCTCCATTAGTTGGTAATCAAAGGGATCCACGATGGACATGGGGGAACGCTTGTACTGCTGTTGTAGTTGTTGCGAGGTTCCCTCGGGAGGTACAAGGGGGGAGGCCGGGGACGCTGTCGACCTAGAGGCGAAAGAGCCACGGCGAAAATTGGACGTCGGTGCTGGTACTCGCAGCATATTGGAGGGCGGACTGCGCTCTGCTGAGTGGCCAGGAGGCGTGAGAGTTGGATGGTACTCAGCAAGGCGTTGGGTGGCGAGTACAGTTTGCTTGGAGCGTTCACGACGCGCCTTGATGAGAGACTCGTTTGCCAGAGCTCGCATCAAACTCTGCTCTGTGGATAAGTTGACTATGTGCTTTCGTGTATAGGTCTCCATTTCACTTTGAAACTACATTAGAATAGATTTAACCTCACCAAAACATTTAGCAGTCAGATTTTTTACCACAATGAGTGGTGAAATTCTCGACGGAATGGACTGATATTGTCTCCGACAAGCTTAGACCCTAGCTAATTTCCCTAAATATAAAATTCGTGACAGATTTAAAAAAATTTTTGACGCTGAGGTTAGGTTGTCAGTGCTTACACTGTCCAAGAATGACCCATGCCATTCGTTGGGATAGTGCATAGAGTACTCCCGAAACTCGGTAAAAAAATTAGCCGATTTATGAGGAAGATGAGGTGCCAGTTGCTCGATCTGTAGCTTGTCATGATAATTGTCCAACAAAGCCTTAAGTAGTGGAGCATAGAAGAAGTAAGGTTCCGGATTGGAGGTAGAGGCGCTGCTATCTTCGGAATCAGTGTGGAACATGTCTGTATCACTGGATTTGAAGGATTGGCCAGACGGAGATACGGATAATATTAAACTGTTGTCCTTGATTAAATCTGACTGTCCATTGAATGTTGCCTGAATCATACTATCGATTCGGAAGAGGAGAAAGATAATCTACAAGGAAACAGCGTTTTAAGCATTCCTTGAATACTATCACTCTCAAAAAATATTTCTGCGAAATGGTAATGATGCGAGTTAAACAAAATCACAAAGACGTAAATCCTTCCGCACCAGTGGGTTAATTACACATCTACCTGAGGTTTAGGCGCTTGTTATCCTTTTGGTTGCGAATTTCATGCGTGTAATGAACTAGAGATGAGCACGACTCAAAAAATAGCCTATGTTTAGGTTTCACATGGAAGCGGACATTACCCAATTGCAATAATCGACGGAAAACACTTTTGAAAACATGACTCAACATGACTCGATAGATGGAAGGATGGAGCATCATGAGGAGAGCAGGAAGAAAGATGAGTAGGGGCGCTCACTCGCTCCAAAGCGGCGTTGTCATTGAAGGTACAGATAGCGTCATGAAGGCGAGCGCAGGACTGCGCGGCTGCCCCGTTGTGCGTAAAGGCGCCGCGCGATGCCCAGGTGAGGAAAAAGTGCAACGCCAACGCCACACTCTCTTCGGGACGCGCACTCACGTCCCAAACTCGTAGTCGATCCAGCATCAATTCACTCATGTGATCCAGCAGCTACAATCATCAATGATAGCATCTGCTCCAGACCTCTGTCTACTCTCAAATCCATTAAACCAAGTAAGTGTAAGTGTAACAGATAATATCCAGGTTCTTTCCAATGTAGGGTTAATCCTATAGAGATTCTCACTACTACAGTAGCATTACAAGTATTTTTATTTGAAAATGCTTTAAGCTATTAGTGTAGACCATGGCCATTACATCAACGTTATCATGGCTCACGTGGCCTGGTTGCATATGAAGAAGCCACACTCTAATTGACTGTAAAAATCATAAATAGTAATCCCAGATCTCGATATTATTGACCGGACCGATGGAATAATACAAGAGTTATTTAGTTACTTGAGTCCTCAAATGATCCAATATAAATTATTTCAGTTAGGAAGCCACAAACGAATTCGAAATTTTGATTGGGGTAATTTAATCGAAAATAAAGTCAAAATAACTCTTCAAAATTTCAACTACATAATGCAGTTGTACCTCCGTTCGGAACTCAGACTCGTCGGACACTCCACGATTGCAGGTTTCATCGACAATCATCCTTATGAAAGGTGACACACCAGGAAAACTGCACGATGTCTGAGAATTTGGACCTGAAATGTGGTATATGACTGCAAAGAAGGAAGCATGCTAAAGGCTTGCTTTTAACACCAAAAATGGGTAAGCTTCCTCTCATTTGAATTGCATAAGGGAAAACAATGGAAAGAACATTCAGAAGAGAAGAGAGAATGGATTGCTATTTCGCTAATGCCATATAGAAAAGCACTGCGTCGATGGGTGTGGAGAAGTGTATCAATAAGTCGAGTGGATTAGTCCGATAAATACACTTTTTCCTATAAATATGAGGGATAGTCATCAAAAAAGTTAAGCATAATCCACCTGCAAAGAGGCAGATCTACGGCAAAGTGCTGACCTGTAGTTCGTAGACAGTTATTAATTGATTTTAGAAATTCCTCGAGGACGCGTTGTACGACCCAAAAGTATGGCTTAATGAACTTGTAAACAGCAGTGGAGTCGGAAATGCTGACGAAGACTTGGTAGTATTTCTAAATGGAAAAATGCAATAAAACTGATCATTCAGGTCCCACTTTGTGCGGATTTTAAGATAAGGCCCGTCCTTATCTGGTTTAACTCAAGCATATGCTAGCTTCAGATTATTCGGCAATTTTTTAAGGCGATTTTATTGACTGCAAATGTACAATTAGGTAATTTCAATGATTATTGTGAGATCATGAGCAAAAGCATGCTCTCGGTCACAAAATCTTATCAGTCGACATTAACAACTTAATATGTACAAAAATAGAATGGGAAATTCTACAGAAAATGTTCTTTGACTACAGTGTGTCAATCCTCATATATTAGGGAGTCGCAACAACAAAGTGGGATTACGGGAAGGGATTGGACACATTAGATATCAGCAATTCATTAGGAAAGACTTTTGCGTATGTGTTTTGCATTATCAAATAGCGTCACTGAAGGAAGCTGACCGAGAGGGCATCACCGATTTGGTCGTTGTTAGGCACGGCGGCTAGGATAAGAGTAGAGCCGGGCCAGAGGAGGCGATGGAGGGCCTTGACAACCAACTCGCCCAGTGTCTCCTCCAGGGCCTCCCTCTCCTCGTCGTTCTCCTCGAGTGAAAGCGCGTAGAGGAGCGGATGGTCGTGCGGGGTGGAGACACCGCTGGATGAAAACCTAGTCTCCATGCTGTGGGTGGGCGGCAGATCGTCATTCGAGTCCAGCGGCATCTCCGCGGATAGAGACGCCTGGTCCAAAAGTCCAATTTCATAAAAATCATGCAAAAGATGTCAATCCGGTTTTCAGAATTTATTTGGTAAACCGTGGAATGTTGAGTTAAAACATAGCTCTATAAGTGAACCCTAAAAACTCAAGTAAGTTTCAAACAAGAACGCCTAGTGTTTTGGATAAATGCGTCTTGTTAGATTGAATTGATCTTCAAAATTCCTGACTTTCCTGCGAGCACCACCAAGACCTTAGCTTACTATTGGTTTTCATTGGATAACGCCTTCTAATTTAACATTTTGCAAATAGAAAATGAGGGCCAAACACTTATCTCATAATCCGTAAAAATTTCATTGCTTAAAATACAGAATAATTATTTCATTTCCATTCATTCCCCGTGTTAGATGATGATGAATGCGCAAGCACAATCTAATCCTATTTACAGCATGGTTGTCTATTGCGCGTAAACTTAGCATTAAAATCCGGGAAGTGCGCAAATGAGTCACTTTGACGGTCAAACGAATGCTTTTATGATAACGAGAAAACATTTACAAGCATTATAAAATACAGAAATATTAAAGCAGATTTCACAATATTTACTTCTTGGTGAGAAATAAGTACCTCTATATTATTTAAGTGACCTGTGCCAATACCAACGGAGAACTAATAAGTACTAGACTAAAATATTTTTGGTGAGCTTCTGCGGCTAAATCACAATGGCATTTTAAAACACAGACCTGAGTAAAACATATATGCATGATTGATGAGTGACAGTAACTGTAAAAGAATGCTAAAGGAAACTTACACTAAAGGAGCTTGTTGATGGTGCGTTTTGTGTGCGATGCTGGGCACAAACGTGCAGAGAAGATCTACGTTGTAGTTTTCGTCCATGAGGACTAAGCAAGAGCGAATCTCCATTTGTGTTCTCACAAATGTCCTCCAACTCATTCGACGCCGGGCTCAGACTTGCTCGAGTATCTCTTCAAAAGTGAAAGGTGATGATATCTACCACTTTCAGAGGGCTGGTTCGTAATTGTAATGAACGTCCATGGGGAATTGACATAATTTTTAAAAGGTACAGGAGTAAAAAAAAACAATACAAAAACATACATCCGCTTTGAATTTATGAGCAGATCAATAAGGGATTCATAAAAGGCTGGGAAGCTTTGAATGTCCTTGAGTGGCAAGGATTTTTCATCTTCCAACAAGTCTAAGAGAAGTGAGACCGCTGCAATGCGCTGGCGTAGTTGACCCATGCGCAATAGTGAAAGATACTGCAGAAGACCGGCATAGTCCTTCCGAAAAGCTGAATAAGATGTATGACGACATTTTTGTAACATGGCTGGACTATCATTTCTTGGCAAATCGTGCAAATAAGTCAGTACTTTTTGGTTAAAGATTTTGATAACCTGGCAACAGATGCAGGACTTGAACATCATAATAACATGTTCAAGATGTCAACCCGTTGAATGATGTCTAAAATTTTAATGGCGCCTTTTTCTCTTAAGAAAGCAAAAGATTCTAAATGAACCAAGAAACAGGGAATGGTTAGTAAACTTTGAAACTCTATTTGTTAAACTATGAGCGAACCGTGAATAAGTGGGAAAGGACATATTGTTACATTGCAATGGCCACAAATCATCATGTCCTATGTGTGAGCATTACTTCCGAATAGTCTATGCAAACGCATAGACCATACACATTATTTCAAAGACATTAAGACCAACTGCGGTCTACTAGATTACGACAGTGGGGGAATAAATGGTTGCTGCTTTTATGATCAACACAAATTTCTCCAGAATTTTCAGTCCTAATTTACCTTTGATGTTTCATTGATTTGAGTGTTAAACTGTTTTGCAGCGAAGTTGTATTATGATAAGGAAGGAGAAACTCAAAACAGCACTATCTGTTAGGTTTGAGGATTGAATTACATATTTTCGATATCTTTCGAACACAAAGGTACATTGTTGTCTTAGTTTGGGTTAGTACTTGGTACACTATTAGCACTTCTTCCGGGATTTTGATGCATAAGCAAACAGTACGAAAGTGCTTACTCCGTCCAATCAAATAGTGCAGCAATTGGCAGGTGTCCGAGTGAAAAGTCAATTCGCGAATAGAAGCAGTTTGAGCGAAGAAACCTTGGAATCCACCAGAGTTGCCGAAGAAGAGATTCGATTTGTACTTATCAGCTACTCTCTCTGTTGCTGCCAACTTATAAAGTAGCTGAAATACGAATGTAACTTATTTTAAGCTACGGAAAATCAAAAGTCGTCACTATTTTCAATTTTAAACTGCAACGATTTAATGCTCGGTATACCTCTTTCAGCATTAGAATCACCAATATGATACTACTTCAAATCAACTGATATTTGATGTACAACCAAAAATGCATGCCAAGATTCAATCTGAAAAACTTCTTAACTCTGAGTTTATGCTGCATCCCTTTACCGCTCACGGGGTGAACTAGAATCACTTTTGCGTGATTATATCAAACATCTGTTTTTCAAGGGAACAAAATTTCTCACAATGAAGTTTCCTGATAATATACCAACTGCTTAAAATTAAGCGAGGTTGTAAAATGAGTTCAAAATTGACATTTGAGCTAAATCCAACTTTATTATTTCCTGAGGACTCATTAAACACCTTTCCTATTACATATGGTTTGACGCTTTTACTAGAAACACTTTAGCACACCTACTTTAGAATAATCAAAAACGTTAGAATCCAACCACATTTTGAAAATAAGAAAGTGCCTGTTAAAAGTCACTTAAATTTGCAGTCAGAAAAGCCCAATTTACAACAACCTAATGGGTGCATGTCGCATACCTTGAGGGCATTAACCTTTGCAGGCCTGTGCATCCTTTCGTTGGGAGCGAGAAGAACGGAGTAAATCTTCTCTACCATTTCCCGTTCGTACGCGAAGAGGAGGAAGGCGTCACCAGGTGGTGTGTTATTGAGGATTTGGGAGATGAGAACAATCACCTCTGCTATCTAGAGCCGTAGGGAAAGATAGACACGGACGATGAGCATGCGTATGCGTGTTGGTGCACTAAGGAGTACGTTAGTCATCTGACATTGGTACAAAAGAACAATGATTGGAATGAGAGTCCAAATTCTATTGCTATGATAAAACTAGAATATCGCCATTGACTCAGAATTCATAGGATATGTGACTTTTGGTCTGATAATTTGAATTCAGCTTGAAAAATAAATCTTATGCAATACAAAGGTTTTGGTCATCAATCCTAGGTCAGTTATGCAATCTCACTGTCCGACATTTGGTAAGGCACACTAGTTACCGCTTCGTAGACTAAAGCACTTTGCCACTGTAAATAAAGCAAATATACAGGACCAACATGTAGTTGTGTGAACAAGCAGGTGCGTTAGCTGAAACGTGTACTGCTTGGTGGAGTAAGGCATAGTTTTATTAGAGTAAGGCACATTCAGTTATGAAACATGCCCGCCAATGTTTTGGAGTTTAAAGTAGATTTGACAATAGGAAGCAAATGCTAGCCTGAAGGAGAACATCATAATCCCAGGGACAACGCCTAAATTGGCCTACCACATCTGGATGAGCAGACGATTCCAGGAATGCAAAGAGCGAACGCAATTCGCTCTTTGAAGCGTCTTTGGCGTAAAGGACGCGAATAATGGAGTAGAGGCCTTGTCGAATATGCTTCATCAAGATGTTGTACGCCTCAATTAGGGACAATTCAACTGAATCCCTTGTTTTCGGAGACAGCAAGGAAAAGACCGGTTTAAATGCCTCATTGAACGTCTTCTTTGGTCTAGGAGAGTTCAAAGTTAAAGTGAAGTTGATTACAAACAGTGTCATCCAGATATGTTACTGTACGCATGTTACACTTAAGCTCAAAAATGCCTTTCCTAACACAGTAGCCGCTAACAACGCTCGGGTATGATTTCACATGCGCAAAATGCCCTCCTTTTACAACTCCTGAGCAATAATTCTAAGCATCATCAAGTTCTAACAACAACGAAAGCAAACTGCTGCTCTTGTGCCGAGTTCATTATAAACTATTTTCTAATTTGGCATTCCCGAAACGGTTTATAATGGTGATTTTAAAAGCGTCAATTTTCAAGCACTTAAACAGGTTCCTCCAGTGTAAAGTTGGCTTGAAATGGATGCCTTTCGATAAAGTATTTAAAGAGGATTTCTTAAAATACTAAAGCAGAGAAGACTTGTCTACCAGAATACAATGTAAATAGAAGACACAATCAACCATCAATAATAGGACAGCAGGTACGATGGTTTCCGTCATCACAAATCAAAATTTGTGAGAATCAACGTAGCAGTTAAATCCATCAGACCCATTAGAAAATAATGGCGGAGGAAACAAAAAATCCCAGAAGTTTCCCCTGTTAAGACTAAAGAAAGCTAAAGGAGAGAGCAATGGTAGAATACAGGCTTAAACTAAAACACTTGCGCAAAGTAGAAACCGGCCGCGGTGAGGAGTCTGAAGATGGGGAAGTGACCGCGGTAGATGCTGCGAATTGTTTTAGCCCTCTTAAGGAGATGCCGCACATGCTGAAGAGTAGCAACAGGCGAGAACCGGGACCAAAGGGCCCAATCGACAAAGAGTTGCTTTATTAGAAAGGTCCAGCGCACTCGGAAGGTCTCTCGCGCTGTTCGCTTCTCCTCCGCCTGCTGGCTTGATGATGCAAAGTCACCCGATGCCTCAACTCGACTGTTCAGATCAATGAGCACCGAATTCGCGCACAAGTCTAGCATACTGTGAAAGCTAGTCACCGCGTTGGCGTCTAGCTGCAGTGGATCAGTCTGCGAAGGGAACAAAAATGCACCATTAACGGAAAGACATATTAAACGCAAAGCATCTAGCAGTGAGAATCTGCATTTGTCAATCGCTATCGCAAATGAAAGCCGCAGGTATGCAGACAGAAGCCGATAACTGATGAATAGTACAGTTTGTCTTGTAAATATTTCCATCAAAAAAACAACTAACAAACTGATATGTTTACGAGAATTAAGAAGCGCCATAATGTCTTCTTTTCCCTTCAAATAATTCACAGTCAGTTCAATATGAGGTATACATCCTTGGAATATTTTGGTGTTTAATTCAGCGGCACGCAAATGAGTAATGCAATAGTCGCACCCAAAACACAACCTGCAGAGGTTAAATGAAAATATTCCAAACCGAATTTTCCACTCCTTAAGTAGACCCGGGCATATGATTGCCCGGTACTTTCGATCACAACAGCATCTATACAGAAGGCTTTTCGGTAAGATGGGTATTTTTTCAAATTTGAAGGCAAGACTTACGGAGTTAAGCAGATGTCCCATAGCGAGAACGACACTTGGATGAAGAAAGTTCAGTCGGACTCGTGTGTCAGCTTTAAAAGTAGTTTTGAAGAAATTAAACAGAACCGAAACTCGACTTGTTGAACGACCAGTCACTGAAATAAAAAGTAAGGTATTATATACTACTTCTCCTACGTTTCGAATATCAGCATGCCAAACCTGACATAATTGGAAAATGTGATTGTCACAGTGTAGTAAAAGTCGGGCAATTGGTTCTCAATATATATTATCTTACAGCTTTTTAATATTGCTGATATCTGCTTTTGTAGTAGAAGTCATTAATATTAGCCCCACATTACCAGGTAGGTTGAAGGAGGCGAAGGGTGTGGAGGATGTCAGAAGAGTTGTGGCCAACTGGAAGACCTCAATGGTGGCACACAGGACTGTCTGTTCCGGCGTCTCGTCCGTCATAGCATCCATAACTTGCATCGCTGCCGGCTGCTTTGACACCGGTGGTGGCTCCACCTCCAAGGTACTGGACTGCTCTGCGCTGCCCAGGGCTTCACGGAACTCCGTCATCGATGCAAATAATTCATCCAAGGTACAGGACGGCACCTTTGTCCTATCAACATCGCGCTGGTGTTTGCTAATCAAATCGAACAACGGCAATAAAAATTGTAACCCTCCCAGTCGGTAGATGGAATCCTTTAGATAAGAGAAAACATTGCTACTTAAACGATTTAAGTAAAATGTGGTATAAGTAGTGAAACTTACAACAAGTGTGCTGGAGGAGAGCCGAACAACCCCGTGAAGGTACGCGGGCAAATTATAGGGTTCGCAAGTGATACCACATCCAGTAAGCAAGCTCGACTGTCCAATCCCACTCAATGCCAAATCAAGACACAATGTACTCGCATCATTAACAGCTTTTGCGTGATAATAAAATAAAACCGGGTGTTGGGGGTTCCGCAGAATGAGATCTGTCACCAGCGTGCAGGTATTCTCCCCTAAAATTTTAAACATTTAAATATACATAGAAGTGAGTGGGCGTTTATGAGGGCCGGTAAGTTGCATAACATTGGTCTCATACACTTTACAATCCATCCAGAATGGAACATGCAGATTAGCATATAGTAACCTATTCTCACAACGTTTATTGAGTTGTATTTGTAGCATGATCTACTTTGGATTTCCTACTAAAAAAAATAAACCACTGTAAGCCATGTGATATGTGAATTATTTTAGTCTTCATGGCGTTTACATACTATTAACGAACCTGTTAAACAAGGCCGAATAAAAATCTAAAGCATATTTTATCAGGGAAAGATACCACTACGTAATCCGAGTTTTAGTATCAAAAAGGCATCGAAGAAATTAGCATGCCAATTTGCTGAATTGGGATACATACGTTGCATTATCGCCATGCTCGTACGTGCACTGCGTCGATGCTAAGTGGTTTGCATATATGGAATCAGTTTCAGGTCTGCAAGATTTACCGATCTAGAGGTGATGATGCATGCGCAGAATAATGTCAGTCACATGTACAGATTGCTGATTAAGGGCTTTACTTGTCTTTGCATTTAAATTTATTAATAGTCAGTGCAAACTTTGCACCCAGCACGTATGTTATCACCACTACCAACTTCCCATTTTACGGGAGGGAATGTCCATCAATCCAAAAAATGAGCACTTCACTCAATTCAAGGGTGTGTATGTGAAAACACAATCATTGAGGGCCTGAGGCACACACACACAAGCACAGAAATCACGTGACGCAGGGAGGGAGAGGCAAAGACAGGAGCGCTTCTGCTCTCACGCGCACACCGCACTGATGACATCCGAAAAATCGTCAAAAAAGGCTTTTATAATTCTTTGGTGCAGTCAAGTTATAGGTATTTGCAAACATAAGCAGCTGCATCCCTGCTCATGTACCGCAGTTTAAAAGGGTGGTGGCCGTATAAAATGGACACATAAAGTAGGAGCAAAGTTTGAAGAACAAACTTGAGCAGTAATATTCGGGACTAGACCAGTCAGGAAAAGTACTTGATGGGACGATAAGCGTGAAGTCAAACACTTCAGCTGTTTCCAAATGGGTTCTTAATTAGCGTTTCAGATGGAAGACTGCCCAAAATGTTTGTCTATTGCCTTCATCAAATTTTTAATTCATCCGAAAATAACGTTAGGATCCTGAGTTATTTGGTCAAATGATCTATTACCAATTGAAGATTAGAAAAATAAATGACCATTGAAAACGAAACGATCATTTTTCATTCTTGATCCAATTTCTGGTTTATCGATTGATGATAAGCCGTATTTTTAACAAGACATTCAAAAAGATGAAGAAATTTTCTAGGACAATGGCAAAGTAAGTAAATTTTGGGTTTGGTTTTTAAGAGCTAAAAATATTTGAATACATTTTTCAGGGTCAGCACATTTATTTCCACCTTCTAGCAGCAGTAGATGGCCATTTCCCTTATGGAGGCAACTAAAGTAATCTTCATTTGAAACCATCTGAACTTCCCGATTGGGAAGTAGCATAATAAAAGCCTTTGAACTCATTTCAACGACTACAAAACTTGCCAAAAGTGATCCGATAGGAAAGACTAAAATCGACATTTACGTAGCAGTTTTGATACTAACCCAAAACTGCACAATTCGCTTCTCTACTCATCTCTGGATACATCGACTAAACGACAGAGGCTCTTTCATCTCCCGATTTTATTAACTGTTACAAGAGTTCACGCAAAACTGACTGCACGGCAGTATCTGCGATGTGACACTTATGAAGTAAAAAAATAGCTGCACATTCCATTTTGAAACTGTATTACCATAAAAGCCGAACTTAGCGAATAGCCAATTTTCAACTCATGCGATTATTCGGCCACAAGTTACTAAAAAACTTACCTATGGGTAAAGAGGTTTGCGAAGGTGATATTAAGAAATGAGGAAATAGTGAAACATTTACTCAATTGGTAACATTGAAAGGTTCGCACAGAGTGGAGATGTTATAAACACTGAATAAATGGCTGAATTGTAACTGAATATGTGCAGCTGAATCGTAAGCGTTAAAACATCCACGCTTCTGATAATTTAATAAGAACCTTCTTAATAATGCGATTCCACACACGGATTCTGGTCAAATTGAGTGAACTTTTGAGGGGAACAATAAAAACAAGGAAACATTTCAAAGCACTGCATACCTCCCTGAACTAGCCATTGGATGAAAGCCTCAGAGGCAGGATCGTTGAAGACGGCAGCATAAGCAAGACGTCCACGGAAGGCGTTTAAGGGACCCCAGAGAGGCCGCTCCCCACCAATGCTGACTTGCTGTAGACCGGGAACCTTCTTAGTCGTCACGCCACGATTACCGATACCAAGACTGGACAACAGCACGGATCCCCTCACCTTTGTTGACTTTGCATCCAATGCCTTGGGCGGTAGCTTCAGTGTGAGCATAGAGTAGCAAATCTCCTCTACCCATAGCGGACAGCCTCCATAGTGAAACAGAAGCAAGTCCTGGAGAAAGCATCATTAAAAATCCGTGCTCACGGGTTGCACTAACAGCATGAAATTTTAACGGGATACGAACACAATTTTATCACACCACTACTAGCTGTTCTTCGGATGCAAAGCAACGTTGAATCAATCAGAAAAATTCTCCATCTAGGTGGTCAAACGCGTGAATTTTTATTTCCATCATTTGTGTACGTGGGCTTTAGTATTCAGGGTATGGAGAAGTAGGAGTATACATTTGCATTATAGGTGGACGCTGGAAGCACTGTTCGCGTGAGACCTACATGAGCATCAAGGCTAGGGCACATGGACACCAATTTCTAGCCATAGCGTAATTTGGTGGACATGCTTACACTTTATATAAAATGCTCACCCACAAATTTGTACGGATTTTAGTGTCTATTTTTAGTTTGTTTTTCTCTGCAGTCTCATTCTTTGTATGCATGTTTTCGATATCAGTACGGTATTCACAAAAATTTATCAATTGCTTTCGGGTATCCATAAGGCCTCCAAGTTAACGTTTTTGGAGTGCTACCAATTAATTGTACCACAATTTGATGGTTGGATCATTTCATTTGTGTAGACAAAAAAAAGACCAATGTTATTTTGCAAGGAAAAAATGTCACACAAATCAAACTTTTACGAGTGGTGGATTTTGTGCATACTTAACTAACTTGAGCAGTCTGATTGAAAGTGAACCTACTTCCTTGATAAGGGGATATCGAAATTCCCCCTCAAATACACGGTCAAAATTCACATAGACGGTGAGAGTAGATTTTGCGAAGAAGCCTTTGCTGTTTGAAAAAACAAGGGAGAGAGCTGTCCACTTGTTGCAGGGAATGCACGAGGGACTGCAGACCTGAAAAGTCAAGCACCATTAATAGACTTAGCCTCTATTGATGACCAGTAAAAATCATTTAGCGACAGCCTAAAATTCACTATTTATCCATCGCATAATACAGAAAGGACGACAGATGCCTGTAATTTATTTTTATAATGAGTTGCGATTGGATGTGGCTAACTAGATGGTAGACTGTGCAGAATTCAACCATGACTTTCAAAAATAATGGAATATGAAAACGAATACTACTTTGCTTCGTCAATAAAATCTTTTCAATAATTCCCGAATTGTATAGACTATGCTCTCCAGCTACTAATAAAACAATTTTTCATAGCTCCTTAGTGGAATGGTAAAAATCAAGGTGTATTTAACAAATTACATTAGAACGAAGACCACCAAAAAGCGATTTGGTACAAAAGGCATCCTCAATTATTCATGATATAGGATTGAGCTTTACGTGGAAAAGATAAAGGGACAAGTTCATATCATCCAAAATATAAAGTGAAGGTCGATTGGCCAAATTATTGCTTTTTAACTACATATTTAACATTCGAACCATGTGTTACATCAATGGCAAAGTTTAATTAAATTAGAGATAACTCTTTTCATATCACCCAGAAAGTGGTTTTAAATAAGCGGCAAATGCGTTTTACACCGATAATCCACGTAGGGCAAGGGGACGTTAACCCACGATTCGGTTGTTAAATCAAATCTCAAAAGAGGATGTAGCAATTCGTGAGCTACAAGAGAGTTGGCTCGAACATAGACAGTATCACTTAAATGATACTAATGACAGCCCTTCTTCAGTGACGTATTGATGTGAACAGGCTCTCGATTCTGCTCTCTTAGGTGCCACACACACCATATGCGTGCATGCACAGACGGAGGAGGGACGGAGGCGATTCAGAGGTCATTTGCAATGCAAGTTAATTCATGTTAGGCCAAAGAACCGCACCACCAGTTCCACACACATGCATACACATTCCTAACCTGTTGCCATCCGCAACAGGATTATTTGTTCCCGAGGTAAATGGGCCGTTACTCGAAACGCATCTTCCGTCGGACCACAAAACCACCTTAATAGGAACAAGCGAACAAGGGGTGCCACTACTCTTAGACGGACAGGAAGCAATCAGCTAAATAGTCCACAAAATTTAGTTAAGCCCAGAGGTGTGCTTAGCCATGAATTAGAATCAGTAAAATTTAGGCTAACACCATAACACACTTGAATGTTTCATAAGCATAAGGAATGTTAAAGGTGCTCAAACCCAAGCGAAGGATGCTTTCCTGGCTTTCAAAATATTTATTTGAGTTAATTTGTTTGAGTAACAAAAATTAAAACATGTAAAAAAATCCGGCAGATGTGGTAAAATCGCCTTAGAAATCACGTCCTCCATGGTGATTTTGGGTTAGTGTATTCCATTTACCGATAACGAAAAAGCTGATATAGAAGTAGTTCACAAAAGCAATAGACTAGACAGCCTGTGCTAAAGGGAATCATTTGGGTTAGTTCTTTACTTCTTAGCATTTCTACTGAAGACTCAAGATTCACTCAAATGACTTCACTTTGGCAGCACGCAAACACCTTGTAAGGTCTGGCATGGAAATGAAATTAAAGCTGCCGACCGATAATACTACGATCTGAGCAAATGGAAAACGAACCTATTCAAAACATGCTTCAAGTGAATAGGAGACCTCATTGTGCTAGTTCCATTTTTGATATGTAGATTTTTGCTCGCAATCACTCAAACTCGTAGATGTAGACAGCAATTTTTGACAATAGACGAGCAACTATTAATAAAGAGAGATTGATACATTCCAATCTAGGTGAGATAGTAGTGCTTTTAATTGCCACATTCTACATAGAGCAGGTTTCCTGTTAGCCAAATCGTACTTTATCAGTGACATGATGCTTAATGCAAACTGTGCAGTGTGCTGACAATGACTTGTTTTTGAGGCTATCTAAATAAAAAAGACCAGGCGAGTTCAGGAAGACATTTCTGACCACATGAAATGTTCACGACGCAGAGATTAAATGTGCCTACGATTGAAAATATTCACTATCTATCAAGCATACTTCAAGTAACACATTTTTTCTGGACGTCTGCAGAAGGCAATGCAACTATAATGGCGTTTTTTTGATCGACTAATATTTGGCTAGTAGTTCAGAGTGTCGAGTAGTGATCTACTCGAAAAATGGCGCAAATTTTCATCGAAAACGGACTGAATTACACGTAAAATGGAACGCTTTGAATTGCAGTTAAACACATCGGGTAAAAAGCACCACTACACAAAGACGCGTTTTCGCGGTAAATAAAAGCACACAAGTTACATATTCCTCATAGCTATATTAGGATAGTTGTCAATTATAGGCAAAACTGAAGTTCTTACACTGTGTATCGTCGTTTTACCAATAAGTAACATCTTTGTCGAAAAAAAACGTAAGATAATCCTAAACTACTAGGTAGCTCATGAAAAACGAGCTAAGCCTGTAAATAATCCAAACGTTTTGTGTGGACCTTGAGGAAGGTAGCACAGCATAGCACCCAAAACCAAAGAGAACCCTTCACATATGCATGTCTTGCACACCGTAAATTGTTCGGCATAGTTAAAAGCAGTGGAATACTACGTTGGAGAAGCTAGCTTTTCCTTAGAATATTGTGCGCTATAGGTTGAGTCTTGCGACAACAATCGTATTGGTAGGCATGCACTGAGAAGGTTACCATTTTGGGGGAAAATTTAGTCGCCAGTTTGACAATACCCTATCTTATGAACACGTGAAGAAATGGGCAACGGTATTGAAAGCTTATTTGAAAGCTTATTGAAAGCTTTTAAGTCGATTCAAGTGCAAATTATGCATAAGTGAATTTGGTGGAAAGTTCCGTCGATGATAACGTATTAAATCTAGAGACTACATTACTTGAGTAAACGGAATGGTAAAATGGGCGCAAATGAGGCGTAAACACCGGTTGCAAGGATTAGCACAAATACGATTGCAAGAAAAGTGGAAGTGAACCAAATTTGTTCCACTCAGCAATAATTGGTGCGAAGTAGGTAATTGCGTCCCATTTTTACCGCAATACCACCTGATTTTGATTTAAAATGCAATCGCAAGGCACACCTGGCTCATTCACACAATTACAAACCAACTGCTGCAGTTGTTAGAAAACATGCAAACCTTCATTCTCAACCGAATGCGCATTGGTGAGACCGCTTTCAGACAACCTACCTAAAGCATGTATTATTGATGAGCTTTTTTTTCAAGACGAGTGACCACAGGTAAGTGGGGTGAATAAATGAGGCAATGGCACCTAACATGAGATTGTTGAAGAAAGTGCGTTTGGCGAATAAAGGGTGTGCCACCGAAAGGCGCTATCAACCTGAGCCTAGAAGTGTAAAACATATGAAGGCTTTAGTTCCGTTACAATTTAACAGGAAAAGGGGAACGCTCAGCCAGCATTTCTTACAACGTCAATTAACATTTAAACATGTGGTTTGGTGAACATAATAGTGACTGCTATATTATGATGGATAGCTACAGCTATTCGAAAAGCTGAAGGAGGAATGAGACATTGTAGCCATAACCATTGCAAAATTGATTCCTATCAGACTTATTTGTAACTTCTGCCGTCCAAATTTTTAAGTGGGCCATATGACGTTTCTGAAGATTTGCTGCCTCATTAGCCATGGAACATTCGCATTTTTGAGTGCTCAACACTCTAGGAAGATATGTTTGGGGGAAAAGCTGAGCGATAAAGTTGTGGAGGGCGTATTTGTGCCCGAAATTGTGCATTCAATTGCGGATGCGTCCGCGTGTCAGAACGGGCATGTGCCATGGATTGGAGGCCCTTGCATACTTTTTGCTTTAAATCAACGCAACAATAGATTTTCACGAAAAGTGGCTAAAAATCGTTACAAGATCACGGTGAATAATAAATTGGTCAGCAAATACGCGGTTTTAGAATGTGTTAGTGCAATCTCAAAATTATTACAGCAAATGTATTAGTATGACCCTTCATGGCATTTGGTGTGCGATGATAAAAATGTCAATTCCTCAGGCAGTACTCATCAGGAGAAAAACCACATTGGCAAGATCTACATTACAAAATGGTTAAGATTGATGACATCGTAAAGGGTGTGAAGGCCATTTAATTTGTTTCATTGTGTCACGGGTGTTATGGCTTCACTTGAAGATAAGCGCCGCTACAAAAGTCTCTCTATCAACACGCAAAAAGGACATGGCGACAGAGCAGTCGGTTCGCCACCAAAGAATTTCTATCTGAATTATTACAGCGTCCTTCAAAGAGTGTAAATTTATTCGTATTTTACTGAAATGGGTAGAAAATAACCTACGGTATGAAATGAACCCCGAATACGTGAGAGCAGTTTTCGTGTTCGAGTAGTAATAAGCCTTTAAACTACCAATTCTTTCAATTTATTTTATAACACGTGAAATGATACTATGAAATGTCATAAAAACTGTTTTGAAATTATCATTAAAGACGTAGCCTGATAATTAAAGTTTGGAGAGTTTTTAGGAAATGGCCCGAGTCAGCAAATAAAAGACTAATGCAAGACGGATTGTTTTCAGCAATCATAAAAACCGTACTTTTTAGTTATTATAGCATACTGTAATTCGGTCATGGCAAAAAACGTCTATTTTCAATACTATCAACCAAACTCAATTAGGAATACGTCAACCACCAAAATGAGACTAATTAAAGATAAGGAAAAAAAAGTTGCTCACTGAGACATAGCAGAACTCTCCAGACTGTGCTGTAGCTACAAAGAGTTCACCTGTGGAAGAGAGGAAGATTTCGAGACCGTTTCCAGCAACAGAAAGCATTCGAAGGAGGCAACTACGTTGAGGTCTCGAGGAGGTGGACCGAGAAGAAGGTGCGTCGAAGTAGATCCAGAAAAAGAAGGTCAAGCCCAAAGCACCTGGAAAAATTGATCCATTGTCCGTGTTAGCTGCTGCCTGATTCTGATCGCTACCTGGTCCAGGACTCCTGGAAACGAATTCGCTGAGGCGTTTTCTACCAATAAAAGACGCAAACGTACTACCGCGTTTTAAGCTAGGAGTTGCTCTTACACTACGAATGCTATCTTGGCTGGGAATCAAATCAAAACATACTGCTCTTTATCAATCAAACTGATAATATTACGTGCATTTAGTTTATCTGGTTGAGCCCATAACTACACCCTACCATCAATCATACCATAAAGTTGAACTCGAGTTAAATTAACTCATGTTAATTGAGTACTTTGCACAAAATAAGCGGACCTACATTTTACATAGCCGAAACGGCTTAATTTCCAACCTAGCAGCCAACTATCTTCCTAATTGGGGAACAAGGACTCATTCCTGCGGCTCCTCGCCTCAAGGCCACGCAATATTTTTCGAAAATTTTTCAAGATATACTCATGTGAACCAAACTGGTGCATTCAGTTTGTATATCAAAGTTATGAAATTTCTAGTCTAGACTAAAGCTAAGTGAAAATGGTTGACACGAAATGGCCTGTGCGTAGGATAATAATGCCGTTAAACAGAGCCCGCAGAGGCATGAAAAGATTAGACGTACATGGCAGAATGGTCATCAACATCCACCGAGGGAACAATAAGGAGGCTATCAGTGGGACTTTCGAATTCAAACCAGGAGAACAGTCCGTTTGGTTGACCCAGGACTGGAGATTTCGTCGGGTGAATTACATTTGTTAGAGTCTGAATAAAATTGATTAATTTCGTATCCTTTTGTTTCGAGACAGCAGGCTTGGTAAGCTTTTGTGTTTTGTGAAGGAACTCTAGTAAATGGTTCTTCACTCAAAAAGCACCTATTAAATTTCCTCGACGCGGGACGGATTCAGAATCTCGTAACTTAAATACAAATACCAGCTTTCGTGTTATCACTGCTAAAGCAAACTTTTTTGGCTTACAATGAAAATTTACGCAGAGAAAGTGTAACAAGTTAATTGAAAAAATTACCCCATTTTCTGGTTCGATTCGATAGATCTGTGCATGAATTAACAACGAAACTGTGAATTTTTTTGTACTCATGCAAAACCTCCTCTTTCATCAAACTCATTTCACCAACACAGAATGGAAAAGAAATTGTAGAAGTAAAATACCTTTTATCAAAACATTTTTCTTCCTGTTTCCAGGATGTAGGTGATTGGAACTACCAAACCTCCATTTTTTGTCAAAAAAGGAAGAACTATGGGAGTAGAGTTACTGCCGAGTCAGACGTGGTTGACCAAATAGGTAGGTTTACAGCGAAAAAAGGTGCTGGTTCATGATCTTTGATACCAAGTCTAAACTAATCTAAATGTATGAAATTAGATCCCTTTGATAATTTAGACACTTTCTAAGGAAAATGTCTAGCATCTGAAGAAGTGTTAGTTTAACTATGGATTTCCAGCCAGAGGCACTAGTAATCGAAGTTTTGGGGAAGTTTTATCGTATGAACACCAAATTAATAGCAATCAGGTGCAGGACCACCACACATTCATAATCTGGCTAAACTAAAGTTCGAGAAGGTTCCTCGACTTTTTGCAGCCAAACACCTGCAGTTACCAGAATATTGTCTGGTCAACCCATTATTTTTAAGGACAAGCGTAAAATAGGCAACATCTTGGAAAGCTAGTACTTCTCTAGAACATGTACGCATCTCATGAATGGTGATAAATTATTGATGACTTTTGGTTCAGGCATCATCGCAGATTTCTTTAGTTTACATAGTATGAAATAACTTGACAATCCTACACATCAAAGATAGGCCTAGAGTAGATGAACATTTAGGCACAAAAGCGGTAGCAATGTAAATAATCACTCCATGACTACTCTTAACAGGATACAAATAAACACTCCAAACATGGTGATGAGAAAACCTCATGAAATGGCCCCCACGGTTATGGTGAATTCAGTCATGTTTGTCAATTCCGTGTAATTGACAAAGGTGAAATTGGTAAAGGGAAAACATCTACATATATGCATTTTAATAATTTAAGTGACTAGCATTCAAAGAAGAGCGAAAAATTGCCGGTAGGACGATACATTTGAAATGTACTCTCTTGAGGAGAAACAAAAGGGCAGTATTGTTACACTCTTACTCGTAGTAATATGGCTGTTTTGTTCTTCACACAGTCCTGTCGCAGCAACGAAAGGATGGAAGCAACATCTTCCAAGGGAGCAGAATGTAGGCCAACAGTTTTGAGAAGGATCAGAAGGTAATCAATCAACTGGCTAATCGTTTTTTTGGAGTCATGGTTCGGAACCTCATTAGTCTGCAAATACAAAATCGAAAAAATAGAAAAATTAATTAAATCTACATAAGTACATATGCATACATAAATATGGAATTTTGAAAACTGTAGTCTTGCAAAGTGATTAAACCATATCATACCTCAGTAATTATTTTTTTTAGGCATGAGTGATTTACTTTAAAGTACTTTGTCTTAAAATTCAGAACAGGCAGGCAAATTACTTGCGCCGAAAATTAATCAATTGAAAATTTCAAACCCTCTCGCTCCACGTAGCTTTCAAAAAAAGTACCATCTGAAGTCACTCTTTCATTGGATTGATGGGTGAAAAGAGAGTGTTTCGAAATGTAGTGACATTAGTTTGTTATTCGCTACCTATCATCCGATGTACCGAAGCGCACTAAATGGTGCAGAGGTACAAACACAGAAAAGGCGAGTAGGACTTGTGGCATGACTTTCTTAACTTTACCCGAGCCTAGAACTTTTCCGAATCACGAATACACCTTAAAACATCAAAAGGTGCACAGAACCTGGGTCGTAGTTTCAGAATTATAAAACAATGCTTTAGAGATACGACTCCAATGTGTAAATATGTGGGGTTAAAGTGAAGCGTGCGATTATATGCATGTGTTGAAAAGTGGAAAAGTACACTAGGTGATGCTGCAACTGTAGGATGTGATCGTAAATAAGTAGTTTTATTCGTCTTTAATCAAGCTATTATTGATAAAAGAACTAAAAGTATAGGAAATATGTTGAAACTCCATATTAAATTTCTAGGCTCAAGTGAGCCCACCCCATAGCTTAAAACAGTTAGTCATTGATGGGGAATCTAGACTTTCTAGTAGGTATTTCGAATGTTCAAAGCAAAGTTTAGGTCACCTTCCCGGATGCCGCATATTGATAGGAATATACCACTTAAAATGCTTAGAAGTTGCTGTTTTTAAAAAAGTTTCTCAAATCACTGGCTCGAATTAAGTAACTAACAAAACGCACTATTGAGAAGGACGCATCATTAGTGAACTTATCCCAACTCCTGAATGCTCGGAGAAGGTAGGGTGTAATGACGCCACGTATGAAACCACTTTTGGAGGCCTCATTTAGGCTTTTTCTGCCACTGCTGTTATCTTGAGAGAGGGCTTCCTGGGATATCTCAAAGCACGCGAAGGCCTCGCTGGTGTCCTGTGATGCGTCTGAAAATGCTAGCTCACACGCTAGCGACACGAAGAGACCGAAGGCGTTGCCATCGATGATCGTCTGCAAAGTCGATGCCTTTGGAAGACCATCGGCATCTGAGATGCCCTCGTGGAGCCAGGGAATGACTGCGGATCCGTCAGCCTAAACAAGAGTAAGGACGAGCACACTATCAACTCTTGAAATAACGCGAGTCATGTAAACAACTGGTGTACAATCAGAGCCTTTCAAGGGGTTAGGGCAATTATAAAAACCTTTCCGATAAAGAATTACTCACTGAAACATCCAGTAATTGTGCTCGGTGAAATGTTTGTGGACAGACACGCAAATTTCACAATGGTGTCTGCTATCTGACCCTTCCCAATATTTTTAAGACTTCAATAAGGCAAAAGATGATTATCATAAGAAATAATACACTATGGAGGCCACTTAAACATAACCACACCATATTTTCAACTCATTTAGCATATTCAATTTTACGTGAACCAAAATATAATATTGATGATTCATGGAGTTGCTTGGTTATTTAAGGGAACTCACAAGACGGTTCCATCTACACCACTTTCAAATACGTTCGAGAACAAGGGGTGTATGCACGTGACCAATTTTAGGATGGGAGTGTGGAGGTGGGCAAGAACTTAAGTGTGGGAAGGGCGGAATGAGTGCACACACAGGACGTCTGTGGTACGGGCGACAAACTAGTCTCTCCAATGTCCCTTTAGCACACCCCATCCAACGGTCTGTTTAGCATTACGTCGCATAATTGGATGGGAGAGAGCGCATCCATCTCAGAAACACAAGGTCATCATCTGGCACCTAAATGCCCTAGTTTTGTGGGTTGAAATAAGTTTACTATGCACTCTTATTTACTGTGTGCGATTAATTATGATTAATTAAGGTCAAAAATGTCAGTAACAAGAAATCTTATATTTTCCTCCACATTAAATCGGCAACTGTGTATTCATGAAGCGCATTTTGTGGTGTCATGGCTTGCATTTGCATTGTTCGTTAATATCATAATAATTTCGCCCTGAGTTCACGGGTTGGATACACTTCCAACTACGTAAACTATTCCTCATATTGATATTTGGATGGCAAAAAGCATTACTAAATGGTAGGATATTGGATAGTGACTTGCTCTGACTCCTACTTTAGCCATCATCTCCATTATTTCAAGTATCCACCGAAATCTACTCTACGCCGACTGTTATTTACCAGGGGCATTGTTTAGCAAAAAACAGCGTAAAATTAACAACTTTTGCTCTTCCGTGTGCGTGCTGCTGGAGGTGGGCGTCAACATGACAGCTGGCACTTCACCAAGAAGTGACATCGCGCTATCGATGGAAGGGTGGCAAATTGACTTATCAACGCATTAACAGTTCAAGAGAGACAAGGTATTTCGTTATACTGATTAAAACCAGTTTAGAGTTGGGTAAAAATAAATTATAAACAAATACAGGAACGACAAACTTGAACACAATGTATAACTGTGTATCGAACTTTAACGGACTCGAGAGAGGCAAAGCGAGTAAATCATGCAGACCTCAAAAATCACTGAAGATCTTCACGTTGATAAGATGAATTAATGCTCTTATGCTGTTAGCAGACGAACAGACGATAAATGATGCGACCGTTAACCTTTGAATATCCCTAAACACATTAATAGTCCATTGGAATTCTTCAGACTCATAATAAATCATCTTTATTTTACCAATTGTTTTTATTAACAGTACTGCTGGGTAATTCATATTTAAGTGATGGTTAATTCCGTTTGTGACAACGATCAAATAGATGTCTGAATCGGTGTGAAGAATATTTTTAGCTTAATTTATTACCTATGTATCATTCCTCTACACCCAACCGTGTAATACCGAATCGTGATAACAAAAAGATAGTTTTGAATGAGACAGTAGTAGAGGTGATGGCACTTAGTGCAGTAAACCATTACGTTTTCCCGATAGTTACTGCTGTGCTGTTTGATTTCTATGACAGCGAAATGATTCTGTTTTGAGCCTTTTAAATTTGCATAATTTTTGATCAACTGATGAGGAAAGTAGAGTGGAATTAAACAGTAGACTAACTCGACTTGAAAATATATCCCATTTACGAGAAAACTGCATTATCATTGAGCTAACATAATTTAAAAGTGGAGGAAAATGCCTCACATCAAATTCCTCAAACATACCCATGAATATACGGCTCTCAGAATTCTATACATATCTTTTTTACTCTTGCTCCTTTTTAAAAGACATTCCTTCAGTGTCATTAGGATTTGTGAGTAAAGTCCGCACGAGATAGCCTCTTCTCTACAGACGCCCCTGTCGCTTGAGAATCCAATAGGACGTAGCAGTTCTGTGTTGGCATTTGGGGAAGGCAAACGAAGTTCAATCGTTACGCGGGTCGTTGCAAGTGCCAACGCACCCATAAGAGATGGAATACAGTCATTCAACTGATCTTGGGCGAGGGTTCTTTGGAATACGGGGAGGAGTAGGGGAAACTGAGCAGCTATTGCCATCTTAAATTCGGGAGAAGTCTGCAGTAGGACAGCCATACATACTGAAGGAAATAAGGAGTCATATTCATCTCTTATCGAACAAATGGTAGTAGTTTTCAATCTACTATTGTAAATGTAAAGTTAGAAATATAAGCGTGAGTAAAACCAACTTTGCATAAGGTTGTTAGCAAAGGTATTTTAACAGCATCAATAAAACTCCTTCTTATTGAAAGAAAATAAGGACAACACTATTTAAGATGTTACAATTGGGTGGGAAGCGTTAATGCAGTTGCAACAAATACCAAATGCGTGTACGCCTTAAATCATCAGAAGACCCTACTCTGAAAGCGGGTTGTTCACTTCTTCAGTAAAAAAAATACTTTTATTTTGAATTCGCGTTCCTTGTAAGGTAAGTCTCTAAAACCAGTGTGCATCAAGCCCAAGTACATGGTGCTTTTAGCATTTCAGCTGAATGCAAGATTAGCTGTGTACTCAGCATTGGCTTGGAACTTGTAAATACAAAGGAAACTACCTTAAGATAAAAGACTGCCTGTGTCGCTGTGGTGATCACTGTGTGTCGAGTAGGACAAAAAAAACTTACAAATATCGCTTGGGTGGAGAAATTTGCGATTTGCAAAAACCGTACAAAATGATGTCACTGCATCCGCAGGATCGATTTCGCGCTGCAGGTAAAGTATGAAGGGCAAAAGAACAAGAAAAGGTTAACAGATTACTGGCACACCTTTTCTCCAGTCTCCTAACAGCACCAACACCAAAATCTGTTGTGCTAGATATAAATTGTAAATCTAAATATCTGAAGATCATAGTCACTATTTATCTAAAGGGGATCTTGAGAGTGAAAGCGCAATAGCGATGACTGCCAACAGCATGCCAAAGATGAGGAACGGAAACCTACGTGGATTTCGTCCATAACAAAGAGCCGTTGTAACAGGAAGGTGAGGCACTCGATAATCACCTTAGATCGCTCCAGATCTTCACCTGCTGCAACTGCAGCAGTCATCAAGGATGCGAATATTTCCTGGGTTATTGTTGTCCTTGCCGCTGTCTAGATTTGTCCAAAATGTTAGAATGAGCTTATGGGAGCAGCAGAATTCACTTTAGTTCACAAACTAGTGAGTTTCATATTACAACATTCAAATGAAATACACCTATGTTAAAAAATATTCATTTTAGACAGGCATTCATATATTTAGTGTAAATTACTAAAGCTACTGTGCTTTTTAAAGTGAAACGTCTAATGTTAACAGGACTTAAGCTTGCTCAATGGTTGATTTAGAAGAAACCAACTCAAAAAACTGTGTGGGACATTTTTTATGACCATCTGTGCACAAAAAAACGCGCTAGTTTGACTCAAAGTTAAATAAGTGATTTTTCGTCGTGCATATAACATAGAAGACACCACTGGAAAACTATTTATTATGCTAAAAGCACATTTCGCGGAATGATTGAGGGCATTTTGCATTTCGGTAGTCTTTTAAGCACGCGGTGGCAAACCAACAAAAGAACCAATCTTAGTATTCATACAAAATAGAACGAAACGTCAGTGTTGCAAAATCTGCTATTCAACGCATTAAAATGATAAAATAAAACTAGCTAGTCTTATGGAGTCATAAGTTGTCAAACCTTACTTTAAATAAGCCTAATCGACTCCAGATTAATAAGTAAACTGACACAATAAAAGATGGTTATCAGGGTTCTGTGACTTATGATGTGCTGAAGTCATTTATAACCATGTAGATGAGGATGAGTGACATCTTGAAAAAAGAAAGGAATTCTTGATGAGCTGCACGGTTTCCTGAGAGGTAAGACGATTTCTATGAAGAAGGTTGAAAGGTTAAAATTAAAAATTTAATATTTTCCACAAGTGCATCGATCCATCTCCCGAAAAAACCAATATATCGCCTTTGCTGCATAAAACGTAAATGAATTTTAACCAGACTAAGGTTGCACAATAGTTATCTTTATGAAAGAAAGATCGAACTTACAGTTGTTGTAGCAACCTCTAAACACATCAAATTGAGAACTCGTATCAGATGTTCAAGAGGAAGTTTTGTTGATTCACTAGTGACGAATTCTACAATGAAATTGAAGTAGTAAAATGCCATTTGTTAGGAATCATCACCATCGAAGGGGGCCGAATAAGTCCAACAAGAGTGCAACTCTCTGAATTATCTAAAACAAATTCGTTTGCCTTGACCTGTATAACAGATTCCGGTCTTTTTAACTAAAACATTGAATAAAAGTCCTAAAGAAAGCTCTTGAAATTCCAAGCCTCCTATATGGAAAAAAACGCAAGCAACGAGGTTGCAATTCCCATGGATCTTATCAGAACTTTAAAAAAATAAGGATATTAATGTCTTCATCAAATCTATTCTGGATCATACTGGATCAACTTGGTAGTCGAAAGCAACGAGTCAGTTTATTATAAAAATCCCAGTACCGGCTTGATGTAAAAATATCTTTTGCCTCAATAGTTAGTCTCAAGTTTACAATTTAAAAGTTAAAATGTAGAATACAATTGATGCAAGTACCTGTGAAAATCGAGCATTAAATAAATTTAGAAAAGAAAAAGTGCGCTAACCTCTCAGCCACCTGGACGTGTAAGCGTTACCCTTTTTTGGAAGTACAGGCTCCGGTGGTAGTCGGCCGGAGTGGAGTCTACAACGGTGATTTGACTACCAATTGAAGCTAGAACTCCCTAAATATTTTGCTGATTTCAATGAAGTCAGAATTATCAATCTTTATATGTGCAGTGCACACACAGAGACTGATAAGCGCAGTTTTGCCGAATTTAACCAAATTTTTAACAGGTACCACCACATACACTTTAATCCATTTTCTCCAAGTCATTTCAGAGTCAAATAACCATTCACTGAATTTGGAACCGAGGTCAAAGACTTCTGTCCACGCGCATTGACGTTCAGAACTCTGTCTTGCTTTTTGAAGGAAGTGTGCCAGACATTTGTCAACGATCACCAAGTAATCATAAATGAGTAATTTTGGAAGATTGTCACGCCGTCTATTTAAATATGGGAAAGTAGTAAGCACAAGCAAAAAGTGAGCTCAACTCTCCAAAGGAAACGACTGACCTTGCGATAAGACAAAGGAAAGTAAATACTGATCTGAAGCCGGGACTCCATTCAGTGGTCTCAAATAACTTGGACAGAACAGAAAATATGGTTTGCAGACAGTCGTCGGGAAGAGCTTCAACAGGGATACCATCAAAGGTAGTCCTTTAATAAAAGGCAAATTGTGACGGCACGTCATATCATCAAAGCAAAACAGCTCAAATGACTGAACAAAAGAATCTATAACATCTCTAACACTGTAAGTAAAAAGAATTGCATTAAAATAAAGGCTACCTACTCAAGCTCAAGAAAATTTGCCGGAATTGAGAACTGGTTTCGGAGGCTCTGAGTGTATTGTTCAAGTGAAAGAAAGCAAGTCTAGAAATGAAAAGTCAGAGACCCGAATAAGAACGTAGGTGTTCTAGGGTTTTGCGATTCAAAAGTGGAGTAGGTGCCATTAAAGTGATCTGCTTGTAAGCATAAACCACAACTAAAAGATTAGGTAGCAATATCACAGTACCAAGAAATATGAAAAGTAATGTGCTAAAATAAAAACAAAATAAAAACACTTAAATACCGGGGACGGCCCAAGCTGTAAAAATATTTTGCTCCTCGATCAGCTATAATATTGTAACGTGGGCGCAATACAGTGTCGATAAGTAAAAATGTTGCTTACACTCGCAAAATCGCTCAATGGATGAGAAACCCGTATAAATCAATGTTCTCCACAAATTGACAAAAAAGCAAAAATGACCACAAGCGTTAGCCTGTCAAAGGCTTTGCGTAAAAATAAAGTAAAACCATTTTTAAACACCAAAATTGTCAAGACGTAAAGCAAAAAAAACCGTAAAGTCACCTAGCTTTATGATACGAAGAACACATTTCAGATAGTTGCCACAGATTCTGCAACTTACTTCGTTTTTAAAAATTTCCCACGAAAATACGGCCGTTAGACTCGCCATCAGAACAATCTATTGCATTTTCGCCGAATCCATAATCTGGGTTGGTTATGTTACAAAGTAAAACAAATTTTCGACAAAATTGTCTTGGCCTTCAAAGCATAAGAAATTTGCCCCTTCTACGAGACAAATCGCAAGCTAATGAAATGCACAAGAAAGGTGCCTGGCGCACACACTTAGAAACTTATGCTCATGTGGTAGAGGTCTATGGATCAACTACTATTTACCCAAATCCCACAGCACAGTATCACATTTAAAATAATTGGATGTTATTGTTGCTTGTTAGATGAACTAAACTGGATGCCACGATATGCAAGAGTGTTTTTGGGCTAAATGGATTATGACCCTGAGGAATGTCAGGCCCGCTTAAAAACACCAGACAATCCTTAGCGAGTTGATATTTCATTTACCTTTGTTCGTAAATTCTAAAAAATTTTGAGCTCAAAGATTGTATTTCTGCGCAAAGTTCAAGCTTCTAGGACAACTGAAAGCCTCTCTTCTCTTCCGCACTTTAGTAAAACACCTTCTTTTTGTTGTATCTTCGTAGAATGTTCATGTCCCTTTACATTGGTACTGTGAGTCATGATAAGATACATATTCCTACACTTGAAAATCCTTTGCTGTAGCTGGCGCACTAGCTAAAATAAAAGCAGAGCCAGAAATGCTAGAATTTAACATTTATGAGTGTGTATGGGGTGTCAGATATTTATGTAACATTTAGCCTCAGCACTCTTCCCTTGTATTTTGACAATCGTATCCCCCGTTCATACTTGCAAAAAACAGTCTCAATATGGGGTAATTATAACATTCTCAACCTTCTAGGCAGTAGTAGTCGGTCAAATTAATATAAATAACATGCGCAAATAACGCATAGAGTAGCTCTGGTGCTAATACGCCAAATTAAGAACGTAGTTACACATGCTTATAAACTAAAGGTAAAAATACTTTGAAAATTGTAAATTTTCTAGCATAAGTAGTAATCACTATTGTGGAACGAGACTCATCGGTCTCCGCTTCTTTATTCCTAGCGTTCCTAGACAAGCCCGGTTGATTCGATTCGGACATCTTTACTAAAGGTGACAAGATGGATAGGGAAAATACAATGTTTAAGAAGGAGGGGAGCCGCAGTTACTAGGTAAGGGAGAGGACGATCCGGTCACGAGATTCGAATTTCCTACTTGCCTCCCCCCTGAGAGGTACATTAAAACAACATAAGTATTACAACTATAACTTTGAAAAAGACTCATAACTAGCAGCCTCCAACAAAACAATGCGAGTTGTGCATTGAGTACTAGTTTGTAGTGAATTTTTTTTGTCCACGATTTCGTAAAGTGTCTTGTGTTGTGTTTTGTGCGACTTCCAAATGTATGCCTAACAATACCAAAATTGATTTTGAGAGACGCCGGTGATAAGTGCGATTACTATCACCAGTTGGCTGCATTGTACATGCAATAAAATAAGTGTCGAAATAACCATAATGACGGTTAGATTAGATGAAATTCGAGAATACTTTGGCTCCTTGCCTTAAAGTTTTCGCATAGATTTGGCATAATACAACTGCCTAATGGTGCCGAAAACTATCACATACAGTCTTAAAAATAATTTTTTTGCAAAAATCGCTCATCTTAGAAAGTTATTTGCAATTTGTAGCAATGCACCGTTTATATTATCTGATAGTTTGTTTTAGCTGGTGTAGTTGGCCGTTATTCGAACGACTTTGCTTCCTTCATCACTTTTTGTTAGGTAGGGGGCTGTGTTTTGCTACTCTTCGTTCATAATTTAGTGCTTTATGTGTTTCCTGATTTAATTTGTGTTGCTTTGTTTGGTGCGGTCTTTGGTGATACCCTTCCAGTCCTTGTTATTTGGTTTAATATGTTTTCGAAGCAGAAAATGGAAGAGAATGACCAAGCACAGGCCGGTCCTCATCTTTGTCGCAAAGGGTGTGGATTTTACGGTAGTCCAAACTTTGATGGCTTTTGCTCGAAGTGTCATCGAGATATGCAAGAGGCGAACAAACATGGTAAATCTGTTGCAGGCGATTTCGGTGAGGACATTTTGAAGTCAGGTAAGCATATTCCCTTCAATTCCTGGTATTTCCAACTTGTTTTAATAACCGGTCCTTATTTGCAGCTAATCCCACCATATTCGATCCTTATACAGCACCGGATTCAGTGGAGTCCATTTTGAATAAGGAAACAGAAACTGCTGAAAAGTGTTCTGTTTCTACCTCTTTTAAAGGCACTCCAGATGATTCGAACAAAGTCGATCCCCCAGTGAAAGGTTCGGCCGTCAATACCGGTGAAATTGAAGCTACCTCAGGTAATTTCTTGATTTAGCTATTTAACGTCTTTACTACAACAACCTAATCCCGTTTTTGTTTCAGGCACAAATGAATCTGCGACGAAAACGCGCCCACGTTGTTTGGTGTGCAATAAACGAGTTGGCCTTGCGGGTATGGTTTTGCATTTATTTTTTAGCCAAAAAGTCCTAAGGAAACGTGTTTATCTTGCCGAATACCCAATTTTTAGTCCATAAATTATCTTGAAATTTTCTTGCTTTGTGTATTGGGAATTCTCATTCACAGGTTTTACATGCCGGTGCGGCGGTTTGTACTGTACAGTTCATCGATATTCTGATTCGCATGACTGCTCCTTCGATTATCGGGAATCAGGTCAAGCCGACATCCGCAAGGCAAATCCTCAAGTGATTTGTCCAAAAATTAACAAAATATAAGGATATTTGGTGGTTTTTATCCCCGCTTCCCGTATATCGGTCGTTCTCTTATCATCGTCTTTACACCTTGTGTGACTACTAAATCCGCACATTTGACTATAGGTATATACTCATGTTCTTTAGTCCCTTGGTTGTAAAACATTGATGATTTGAAGGTAGTTTGATTGTTTTGATGCGCTTCTAGTATCGACGACCGACTTGACTGCTGTTGGTGTCGAAGTGCAATTTCCCTTTTTCACGAATTCCTGTCCATTGTACACACCCTTCCTTATTTTCAACTCAGTAAATTGTCGCTCATTCTACTTGTGGGCTGTTGTTTGTTTGTTCGTTACCGCCTGTCTCACTTCCTTGCACACGTACCTCGGTGGCATTGTCGCCACCCTGATGCACCATGTGCGGAAACAGCCTGATCTCCAATGCCCTTATTTCCCGCTTCAGAAGTTAGTGGTACGATTGACTTGTCTAACGAGTCTTGCACGCAGTGGCGGTATGTTTGGCTCCGGTGGTTCTTGTTGCGTAGCATATATGCACGCTGAGTGTTATGCATTTGCTACGGTGAGTACGCCGTATTTTCATTAGCTGCTCATTTAATTTGTGGGGCTTTCTTTACCCTTTTCAGATCATGATTTTCCGTTAGTATCTGGGTTGACTCGCCGACAATAGCACTGGTTTTATTTTGGAGATTGACTATATGCTTGATGACATGCATATTAGGGTTTGTTTGGATCGTCTGCGTCACTAAGTCGGTTTGCTGAGGATTAAATACGCCTCCGGGATGATCTTTTGGTTTCCATTGCTTTGGCTTTATTATAACGGTCGTAGATATGATGTTTCGGAATCTGACTTAGCTCATTGTCATCACTTAAGTAGATCTTTTGAATGGATTTTGTACTACCTGACTTGTCTGCTAGAGGCTCTTGCGCTTCGTTCGGCCGCCCTCTTCCGCTCCTCTCTCGTGGGCAAGCGGTCGCTCTAACGCCAGGCCACATGACGGGATCGATAGGAGTGCGGACACGTCGCTGCCATGCGCGTGCGCATGCTCTGTGACGTCACACCCGGTGCTCTCTTGTGCGCATGCGCCTAGGATTGGGCATTCTACTTGGCGTATACACTGACGTACGCTTTGAAGTCCGGGTTCCTGTTGTTTACTTCTCCCCTATGATTCTGCGAGTGGACAATAGTGTCCAAATTTGCTAATAACTCGACGATACATTTGGGAAACAGTCGAGGCTCTAGGTAGAATTAATAATTCATAGCGGACTTTACGAAAATACTCAACTTTAAATGGTTGAAGTGAGTACTTTGATTAAAAGGTCGGATTGGTCTCTCCAGTAAGGTTTTGAACATGTTGTCTGAGGAGCAGGTGCTTTATCTGTGGGAACTGTGGATTTCCTGTAGCTCTGACTGGGGCAGTCGCTTTCAACGATTCGGGTTTGGGCGCATATCGCGTTTGCTACTTCCAAATGATGTGGGGACAGCATTAAATAGTGTTGGCTACAATATTATTTTCACTCCACAGGCAGTCGTGAGTAACCTGCTGCGATGTGGCGGTAGCCGTTGATATGGCAAGTCTCGATTTGAAGACGTCTATCTCAGAGTTACTGCGCCGTTATTCTTATGTCTTCGACGCTTTGAAAAAAAGGCATGGTGGGGGATCCTGACATTTGTTGTAATGATCGTAACTCGGTGGAATTAATTCCGGCAGTGCATGCAGAAGTGTATGAATTAAAAAGAACCAACTTCACTTTGAATGGTGCCGATGCATCGTTTTTCGACAAGGTGCTGCATATCGAAACCAATGTAGTAGTGCTAATAAGTGGGTGTTTGCCTCTAAATTGTCCATTTTTTGCAATTCCGTTGATGCTAATATGACGACCAGTTTAACGTTGTGATGGTCTATTAGCTACGACCAGGCCTAGGCCTCCTTTTGCTCTTTGTACCACGAGATGCGTGGACATGTGACTAATGTTTTTTTATTCAGGAACAGGAGGTTAACTTTACACGTGTGTTTATTTTAATGACCACCCAATCCTTTTTTTCAGAAAGTGCAATGTTTTCAAGGCAGGCTGATTTAAAAACCCAGGGAAATGTGTGTGTGTTTTTCGAAAAACCATGTTAGCATCACATGCTTTCAAGTCCCACTTCAAAAATTAGTTGCAGTAACGACCAATTTTCATTCACTGGATCAAACTTCTCATAGGTTGTGTGAAAATGCCTTCAGTTCCAGTTTTGCTTTTTCTAAGGGAAAAAATACAATATCATTAGATGTTTTTTTTTTGAAACTCGTGACGCAGTAAATTTGCATGTGAAAATCTATAGATTATTGCCGTTGTGCTTATGAAACAGATCCTTGCCAATCCTCTGCGCTCGATTTCTTGAAGGTTCAGTCGCTTTTGGGGCCCGATGCATAGGTTGGAAGAAGCGTGGATAACTCCATTTTGAGGGAGCTTGTTGTTAATTACTGATTGAATTACGAAGGGGCAATGCCTTGTGAGATTGGGTAGATTAGTTTTCAGAGAAAATTGTAGTACTTGCAGTTTAGGATTGAGTACTCTCTTAAAGGTGTAACTGCTTGAAGCTGAAGCCATCGTCGGATCGATTTGAAAATAGACCATCTGGATGTCGTGGTGGCTTGGCTACACTTTTGAACTGTGGATTTATATACATTAGCATTTCGACTCGTTTTTTATTTCTCGAACCGCGTTTTGGACTGTGGGATATGGCAGCGAACATACTTGGCCATGGGTGCTGCATGTTAAAATGATGAGAGGTCGACTCCAAGCGGCTTGTACTGTTTTAGTATGTGTAGATGCTTGGCATTTCTGCCTACTGGAGGCACTATTTTCACCTCCAACATCATTCTCGATCTAAAAAATTATCGCCTGCAACAAAGGCTCAGATAACTGGGCATATGGACCTTGGAAATCAGCAGGTAATCTGAATACCATTGTGTATATCACCTTGCAAATTCTCCGACGCCTAAGCAACCGTCGTCTACAAGTGCAAACTATATTTTTTCATTTTCGTTTGATTCACTTTCGGTTTACCAGGACATTAAATTGTTATGTCAACGGATTTTAAATTGAGAAACTGAGAAGTATTTTTCACGTCAAAAGAAGTAAAAAATACTATGAATGCAAGGAACTCTTTCCTCTTGTTGAGCACAAGGTGGCTGTCTCGTAGACATGGGTGTTCAATGTTGGTTATTTTCAGCAAACTTATTTAAGGTAGTAGTTTCATGCAAGGAATGAATTTAAGAAGCTTGACAGTAACTACTGCATATATGTACTGACTAAAGTCCAGCAGCTAAAAGTACACTACTGATGCCTCACTGCTGCCTAGTGTAGTAGCTTTACATTTCGTAATGCTGGGAGCGGGGCTTGCGTGGGCGTGCACTTACATCCAACCTCGCAGTGAAAGGATGACGAAACCGCCGCGCCGGTTGTTTGCTTTGTCTCACGGTGAGTTGGTGTAAGCGACCCATGACGTAGTTGCGAGAAGGAATGCCTCAACTGTTTCACGCCTTTCGCTTGCCTTGCGTTGGGCCTGTTGTGCGTAAACGACACGACCTAGGAACTGACAGCATTATAGAATGAACTGTAGTGCCAGCACATAGCCAAGGTGAATATCATTTATCCTATGGAGTCACCGGGGGATAGTTTTCGTAAACTAAATGTGCTTCTTAGGCTCTGTATCATAAACTGGGAAATACATCACCGCGCATCCAAGATAATCTCCAATAGCTAGAAATCTCTAGATGATTTATTTTTCCTTTAATGGATACGGGTTTCGGGTCGTTTCAGTTCATTACCAAAAGTCACATGGTCGGGCGATTCTTTAAGCGGGACTGAATTTTGGTTTCGTAATGCAGAAGCTTGGTGGCCTCATAATCTTATTTGTTCTACGTTGACTAGCGTAATCCGAATTTTTGGTGTGGTTTTGGGTAATGCACAGCTCGAACTTTCTTGCTTGTTGTGCGATGTTTTATGAGCTGGATGTTATCGTAGAACTCGAATTTTCAGTCGAAGTATGCAATTCCAAAGCACTCCACACGGAGCAATTGTCAGGTCGTTTTTGAGTACGGTGATTTTTTCACGGTCATGTGTTTCACTTCGAAGATGGGGAAGTGTTATTGTAGCTCAGATGCATTCCAGAGGGCGTGTGGACGAGGTGTGCTAATTCACGTAGAAGTAGGCAGCTGGCGTGCGCTCTCGAAAATGCTCCCATCTTCTAGAAATATTTGGCTGAGTAATAAGGGGCATGTCAAACGCAATTATCGGCCTCACTCATGAGTGGATCAGAAACTTCATTTCACATTTTTAGAAGGGCTTAAAATGAGTGCCTCTTCTTGAAAGCAATAAAATCCCGTTTTTTTTTTAAGTGGGCACCATTCGGAAGCCTCATTATCCAACATCAGTTATGTCTGTTCCATAAAATGAAAAATGCGTCAAGTGAACATGGAATTTAACCGCAACTTCTCAAGTTTGTTAATAACGCCTTCCAATTGAGGAGGGTAGATTTGCTGGTGAGCATTGCTGTGAACTGAAAAGTCCCTTTATCTTTGATGTCATTTCTTTTCCCCCAAAGGGCTCCCTCGCCAGCGTCAAAGTGATTTCAGTGTCTGCTCGCAAACCAATCCTAAAAGATCGTACAAATACTGCAAAAGAAGTATGAAAAAAAAATTTAAAAACTTTCTGATTATGAAAAAAATATATCATATGTATTTATTAATCTGTAAATGAATGAAATCACGAAAAACTAATTACTATCATTAGTGGAAAATAGAGTCAGGAATGGACACGTTCAGTACAAAAAATTGCCTGTAAGCGTAGGTGAGTCAGTCACATCCATTTTAAATTTTTAAACACAATAATGAAAAATTAAACTTATGGCCGGCTAAAGGACAGCGTACCCCACGCTATGCTTAACTCCATTTCAGACAGTAGTGCGTACCTCCTGTCGGTGGTCAAGATTGGCCGACCGTGGGTACTGAACGCCCT